AGGGTGGTCGAAATTGATATGCTTTAACAGAGAAAACCTATTTCCCGACTAGATATTGATACAAACCGCCTGTTGATATTTTCACTGCCAACACAGATACGGGGTCTTTTTGAATATTTTAATCAATTTTTTTATTTCGTGGAATAATAAAATTCTGTAAAAACGTTCTTATGGCACTTTTTTAAGTACAATCCTGTGGCGTAGTCAGTTTTTTTATGCTTGCTCTTTTTGTCAGAAATAATAAAAAATATAATTTTTAAATGGAAATCACAGTTGGCTATGAACTTAAAAAAATGCTGACGTTTAACCCTTTTCAACGGTATAAAGTTAGGGGTATCTATTTCTAAGAATGAGAGAAATATTAGGTTTTTTATCTTTATGTCGAAGCGGGCCTTGATTTTGTGTTGACCTATGTGCCTATAGTCTGTCCAACGAGAAGATCCTTGACAGTGATAGATGTGTCTGTCATTTTAATTTCAAAGTAGTTTATTTTATTTTACAAAGAAATAAGTTGGTACAACTGGAACTCATAGCAGGAAATTAATATATGTATTTAAAATTTGACTGACAAGTAACTTCAAAATATTGTGAGAAAACCTGTATAAAACAGAAAAAATGTAATCGAGTTATTTTATTTAATAAAAAACGGTATGTGTTAATACAAAACAAACAAAAACAAGACACCACATACCAAAAAATATAAAAAAGAACTATTTCTTACTTTCAAGCTTTATGAAACTTCCCGCATTTATGATTATATTTATCAATATATCTTATGTACAAATACAAATTTGTAATATTCCGGAGGAATAAATAAAACAACATAAATAAAACAAACTATTTTATTAATAATAACACTTACCAAATATTATACCTCACGTTGATTAATTAACTTTAATCTTAATTTTTTTAAATCAGTACCTTTTGACATTATTTTTCTGCAGTACTAAAATCCATTATTGACCTATCGTGTGATGTCGATATTTTACAGCTACTCCAGTTTTTAGTATGTGTTTAGTATGGTCCTTCTACCATATTCGAGATGCACTTATCTACGACGAGATGGTATACGAACTTTATTGATAGTAATTTTATTGGTGTATCTGTATAAGACTTTCTGCCTGGGCAGCGACTATTAACCAAAACCTGTGCTCTGGGTTCTAGAGTTAATTTTTACTCGATTTTTCCTCCACTTGATTTCAAAAGACACAAAACACTCGTAATAACACAAATCAAAATGCATCATCTTCCAAAACGCAGGGTATTTGACAAAAGTTGTCACAAAATTATAACCTATAATTTGGCAAGACTTTGACATACGTCAAAAATCTAAAGGCGAGTTCATACGCATCGACGTCCGTTTGTCGTTTATCGTTCCGTCAAACCAATAAAATTGAAATACGATCTGTCATTTTTGAAATAAACCAATAAAACTGGTTAAAAACAACAAGTGACGACGCATGACGAATTTATGTTTAAACCCATCCATAGTTAACTTAAAAATTATTAGAACCTTTTTTTAGCAAAATAAATAGATTGGTATGGGACGTCATCTGCTTTTCTTCTGTCATCGTCTGTCGAAATCTTACCTGAGAAAAAAAACAGAGTATAATTATTTTTTATCACAATTTAATATTCAATATTATTATTTATCTGCATAATTAAAGACTTTTTGAAGGATAAATTAACGTTCTATATTAGTATTAGTAATTACAATTGAAATCGATACAACAAACAAGGAACAAGACTAAAAATTTTTTTTTTGGCGAATATAGTTTTCTAAAAAAAATCATCAAAGATGTTCAAACTGAACGCCTCCTTGTTGAATACACAATAAACATCTTTTGCGCACAGAGTTACAACGATTTATTAGGCGAACTAGTGTAATAAGTCCAAAAACTTGCCTAGTAATCTTCTGCAATTCTTCTCTCGTCTCAATGGTTCTTCCCTTATAGATAAGGTCTTTTAATTTCCCCCAAAAAGTTGAAAGGAGTTAAATTACAGGACTTAGTAGGCTCTATGGGGCCCTTTGTTCTAATCCAATTCTCTGTAATTTCTCCATTTAATAGTGCAGTTGTAACCAGGGTTGGCAAATATCATGATATTTATATAAATATCAAATATCGGATATTTATTTTTGTTTTTATTTTTTATGTAAAACCGGTAAAACTGCGTTTAGTATCAAGTAAAATCAAGAGCTCAAGCAAATATTTTTATTTCAACTTAATTATTGTTGCTTTGCACATAATAGGAACAACATTAAAACAAAAATATATAAAAAAATATACAGAAATTCTAAAAAAATAGACAGAACTTCTAAAAAATAAACAGGAATTCTAAAAAATAAAGAGAAATTCTAAAAAATAAACAGTAATTCTAAAAAATAAACAGATATTCTAAAACTAACAGCAAACAAATTTATATTGGATTTATTAATTTTATTAATGAAAATCATCGTCAGATTTGTCATGTTGAGAATCAATCTTGAATCAATTGATACAGTTTGTGGCAAAGTTTTTGGTAAATTTTATTTTTTTAGATCAATGATATATATATATATTTATATATATATATATATATATATATATATATATATAAATATCATAAATATATATATATATATATATATATATATGATATATATATATATCATTGATATATATCATGCCATCAATATTATCTTTTTTAATTGTATTTTAATACTCTGATCGTTATCTTTATTTTTTTATATAAATATCATTGATATATATATATATATATATCAAGGTATAAATATCATGATATATATCAATGATATATATCCGATATATATCATTGATATATATCATGCCAACCCTGGTTGTAACCCTGGCGTTTTAATTGTAAATGGTAATACTCCAATCAATATTATCTTTTTTTTTTTTTTCTTTCTGATCGTTGAGTTTTATTTTTTTATAAATATCATGATATATATCAAGGTATAAATATCATGATATATATCAATGATATATATCCGATATATATCATTGATATATATCATGCCAACCCTGGTTGTAACCCTGGCGTTTTAATTGTAAATAAACATTACATTTTTGTTACATTTGCATTTACAAAATCGAGCCCATGACATCTATGTCGGTTGCTCTATCTAGTCAGGAAATAGGTTTTCTCTGTTAAAACAGACCAATTTCGACAACCCTGTACATTGTGTGTATTGCGATTTTTGCTTAGAATTGAAGGAAGAATTGAAATATGCTTTAATATACAGGCGGTTCTATTTAAAAATGGATTTTTTATGTGCTACGACTTTATAACCCACCCTGTATACTTAAATTTATTACTCGCTATTAGATAAACACACCGGAAAAGTCTAGGGATATTACAATTTTATCCAGCCATCATCAGTAATTTTATTTTTTGCATTTCTGATATAGTAAAATTAAAATAAATAAATGGTTTAGAGGACGTTTTGAAAATAAAAATGCGAAATTTACCGAAATTTCCAAATTTATATTGATTTTTATTGAACTCGGACAAATACACAAAATATTTTTTATTCTAAACTGTAAATTAAAAAAAAAAGAAGATAAAACCATTTTTACTTAATAAAGGGTATGGCCTCCTCTACTGTTCATTACAGCCCTACATCGTCTCTCCATGCTCCTGATCAGGTTGTCGATCTCTTCTTGAGGTACAGCCTGCCACGCTGCATTCACGGCCCGAACCAGATCCCTACGAGTTTCACGAGGCATACCCATTCTCAAAATTCTTCTTTGGACCGCGTCCCATACGTGCTCGATGGGGTTGAGCTCAGGAGATTGTGCCGGCCAGGGTAAGATGTTTAATTGATGAGCATTGATAAACTCGCTTACCACTCTGGCTGTATGAGGCCGTGCATTGTCATGCATGAGAATGAAGTTTCTCCCAAAATCATTGGCATATGGTAACACGACTGGCTCAAGAATTAAATCACGGTATGTGATTCCCGTTAGAAACCTTTCAAGGAAAACGAGATCGTTTTTTCGGGCTTACTGGACTCCTCCCCAGACCATAATTGTTCCACCTTGATAAGGGTGCAACATGACATGATCCAACCGAATAAAATTTTCTGGTTCTCCCCATACCCTAAGCCTTCTCGAATCCGGATGAATTCCAAAGCGTGACTCATCCGCGAGGAGAACATTGGCCCATTGTTCATTCGACCACTGAACATGATCTTGAGCCCACAAATATCGTACGATTTCCTCTCGTTAAGGGTTGAGCTCTCCAGGGACGTCTGCTTCTTAATTGACCTCTCTTAATCTATTGCGAACAGTGTCAGGACTAACGGTTACGTTATGTGTTTCCTGGAGAATTAAACTAAGCTCTGGTGTGCTGTAAGAGTGGGTCGGCGTCGAGCATTTAATTGTAAAAATTGATCTTGCTAAGGGGTAATAATGCGATGTCGCCCTGTGTGCCTTTCAACAACATCACCACTTTCACGGTAGCGTGCACTTAATCGCGATATTACACTTTGCGTTGTATTTAATGCTCTAGGTACGTCGATTTGGCGCATTCCAGCTTCGAGCATACCCACGGCCCTTAGCATTTCGTCTCTATTAAGATGTCTACGCTTCATAACGTTGTTTAATACTAAACAAAGTTATTTGAATGAATTCTGGCCAGTTATCATAAAAACATAGCCAGTACAGGTTAAATTCGAACAATTGATGCTAGGTGCTTTTTATACATTTGACAAAAAATACACAAAAACTTCTGCAAACATGCGAAATTTAGAAATTACAAGTGTGACTATTTCATTTCAGTCGAAGTAGAAAGAATCGGCCTAGAAATATGTGGTTGTTTATTCAAAACATTTATTTTTAATTTTAATAAAATGATATCCCTAGATTTTTCCGGTGTGTTTATTTATATATACCTTAATAAATATTATAACTTTTGTATTTAACTTTTTGCGGTACCTCCGATATATTACCTAATAATCGATCGTTTTCGTACATAATAGCGACCCTGTATTTTAGGAGTCTATTAAGACAGATTTTAAAGACCAACCCGATAGTACAGCATCGAAAAATCACTGTCAGATCCTTTTAACCTGTTTGGATCTTGGTTTGAGGATTCTGGCACCATTTATGCCAGTAGTATCTCAGCATTTACACAGACATTTGCCAAAATTTTGGGATACAGGAATTGATACGTCGTTTCCATTGGTATGTCAGTTTTTTTTTTAATTTTTCACATTTTGTTTTGATTTTTTTTTTTAATTTTAGATGTTAGGTCTTCGAAACGAAGTTTTGGAGAAAGATTGGGAAACAATTATGGACATTGTTGTTTGCATTAGAAGACTGAAGAAAATATTTAACGTCATTTACAAATATAAACCGGAAGGTACTGTAGATTAAAATGTTTTTTCCCCTGTATTTTATAAAATGACGTCTAGTTGACATAGGATCATCTTGGTTCAAGCTTTACTATAGGCTTGGAGCCTTTGAATAAGAAGACTAAGGAAGGAGCATAATGCTATCCATGTATTCATGCATGGTGGGCGGAAAAGCCACCATAAAAGCTCTCTAGGGTGGGGATCCTTGACAGTTCTGTTTGACGATTCATTTGACACATTTGAATTTGATTTGAAATTTTGTGGATTTGTCAGTCTTTACGGAGCTTATTTTATGTTATTTATTATTTATTCTACTACTGATAGCTGTATAAAGGTAGTAAATCTAGATGGAAATTGTGGCAGAACTTAAATTAACAGTGACACTATCGCGATTTATCGAAAAGACTCTAAAATAGTTGGTTGTGTAGCGTGCGGTAGATCTCGGCAAAATTGAGTGAAATAATGGAACAACTTTTCGCTAGTAAGTGACTATATAATATACATACGTGTAGTAAACCGATCATTTATGAAATTCGCTTAAATTAACTAAATTATATATTTTTCTTGCATTTTTAGCTTTTATTTATTACTTGTCAAAGATTAGATGTCAAAGAATTTAGATACGTTAATTTGACTTACCTGCTTCAGTAGCGTATCGGATGTTTGTGTTAATAAATACTTATTATAACTTATCTATTTTTATTAGAATTATATATTTTTATAACAATTTTAATAACTACCAACATTTATTCACAACGTAAAATAAAACAACAAATTATTGAGTCTACCCCACGTCTACCCTACATCATAGTTTTACATTTTTTAAATAAAATTAGAACGACACTGATAAACCGGAATTTAAGTCGTCCATATTTGAGGCCCATCGCGGTGTACCTAAGATTTTTGATATGCTCCTTCCTTAGTCTTCTTATTCAAAGCTTGGAGCATTTTCCACCGGTGCTGCCACCATCGGAGAATATCATAAACAACTAATACTTACAAATACACGGGTTTAAATAACGAAAATACGAAAAATTTATTATTTAATTATTCTAAAAGTGTTAGGAAGTGTAATTTGTGAAAATTCTAAAAATAAAAATAAAAAAGTAAATATTTTGATATCTTCAGCAGGTCTAACTTGTATTATAATTTATTATTCTAGTTAAAAAAACTTTTTAAATGAGTTCAACTACGGCCCCGTATAACCAAACAGTATAGAACCTCTATCGAGCCTATATTAAAATCTTTAGTCGATAAAGGCGGCCTTTATTCATTAAAGACATTATTTATTATTAGTTTTTTGACATGAGAAATTTGATTTTGGTGTCAATATGACTCCTACTAGTAGAGGGCGCCACCTACATCTGTTTAAACTGTTTTGAAGCGTAATAACTTTTTGTCCGTACCTGTATAAAACCACCGAGCGAAAAAATATACATCTCTGTGACTTTTTACGTGAAAAATATCTCTTTGTAAAAATCGCTACGAACAACCGTTCTTAAGATATTTAGAATGGAAATAGACAATATACATGTCATTATTGGCAAAAAATAAACACGTTGAGTAGATAGTTATTTCACTGAAATAATAAATTTGGGAAATTTTTATTTTTTTTAAATTAATCATAAATTATTTCTGCAAAAAATGATGATAAAACAGTTTCTGTCGTACTTTTGGCACAAAAACATTTCAAATTTATGATTTCAGTCTAATAACTATTTAGTCAACATCAGGGGCGGGAAAGTGAAATAGCAAAAGCGGTTCCACCCCGTTTCCATGGAAATCTCAAATAAAATAGTTCCAGCCCTAGGCACTAGGTGGTAGTGCAATTAATTTTTAGGTTAAGAAGTTGCTACTAGTTATTGCCAGATGGCGTTAAATCAGAATTTTTTTGTAGTTTCCATAGTTTCCAACGGCCATTGTCATATTATTGTCAAATTCTCAAAAAATATTGTCGTTGTCATAGCGCCAATCATAATATCAAATAAATGATTATCAAAACGTTTTTCAAACTATAATTTGTTATATATGTGTTTTAATTAGACAATTCCTTTTGTTTGTGGCCCTAAAAATATAATGTAAGTCTTTTATTTTTGCCATCATTTAAGTACCTATTTTGGGCGTATTACGTTGGTTTTGTTTTATTATAATAAACGATGTTTAGGTGAAATATTTGACTTATAAATAAAAACTTTAAATAAATAATATTTCACATGTTTGGCTTTAATTTTATTTGATAATATAAATTATACTGTTAAATTTTATTTTTTACACATCACAACGATACTTGTTATTAGTATTGTTGAATTTGTGTAAAAAATAAGATTTAATAATCAAATTTAATTATTTTAGAGTAAAATTCAATAAATACGCTCATTTAAAAAGCCCGCGCTTCAATCCATTTAAAACAAGCCCTACTCAATAGATGGCGCCTCTTCTGTAGGACCATTTTTCAGTATGGCAGAGTCCATTCTTTTTCTAGCTAGGTATATTCTTTGGTCAACATGTTTAATTTATGTTAATGATGACAGGTATTGATAGTTTCTATTCATTGCCTGGAAACTTAAAGTACGTTTGCTGGATCTGTGTCTATGAAAGGAATGCGGACAAAAAACATTTAAATAAACAGCAATATATTTTATACGTAGACTTGACGAGTACGTCACCGCAAATCGCTCCGCCCACTCATTTTATTGGCTACTTGCAAATTTGTCGAATTTTTATTGATGGGACGCGTCCTCTAATTTTTTACGAAAAACATCAAGAGAATATCGTTTCCCCTCTCACAGATACCCCGTAGCTACAGAACTGACAGACGTACTGTATATGGTGAAATTTTGATAAAATAATTTAGTACATACTAAAAACACGGTATGTCGCTAGTGGTAGGAAAAATAATTTTTAGAGGTTACTAGTTTATTTGGTTGCCTGTGATATGCATATACAGGGTGTTTTCTAATTAATCTAAAAAATAAAAAATCGATAGATAACGGATTAAGGCGGGCTCTTAATAAATATATTTTTTTTACCGACAACCCTTTGATGAACAAGAAAAACTTAAAAGATCAATTTTGTTGAAAAAGGATGGCCAGTCAAGAAAAAAATATATTTTCCTTAAAAAGCAGTGGTGTACCATTTATGTTAAGCAAAAAATCGATTTTTTTAATTTTTAACACCCTGTAGATCAGAAAGGAAGTACTTTAGACCCAATGGTTATATAAAAATTGTTTTAAGAACACATGAGGAATCACACCACAATTTTTTTAGATTAATTAAAAAATACCCTGTATATTGTCAACTTGACAATGATTGCTGATAAATCAAAAAATACCTTTTCAGTGAAAAAAGCCCGATTTTCGCAGGAAATTTTGATTTTTATTGAATTTGGGCCTGCGTCTGCAAATACCGGTTTGTTTTTTAATTTTTTATCTATCTAAATTTTAAATATCATAGTCAGAAATAGTTTTATTATTTATTAACTGTAAAAATGGTGTTTTCTTGTTGTGTTGCATCTTGCAAAGAAACTAACAAAACTGCAAAAATGCACGTGTTTCCAAAAGACGATAAGGTATGTATTTTAGATAAAAGAAAAATATATGGTATGTATTCGTTGTTTGATTTTTTTTTCGTTCGCTTTAAAGTCTATAAATCTTGGTCTATTCATTAGACAGCCAGTCGACTTACGATCATCTACATGAAACTCTATAAAATAAATAAAAAAGTAAACTGTAAAATATATATATTCTTATGTTTTATTAAAGTTACTCTGATATACTAATATATATATATATATATATATATATATATATATATATATATATATATATATATATATATATATATATATATATATATATATATATATATATATATATATATATATATATATATATATATATATCAGTGTAACTTAAAAAAATAAATCCTTTGAATTCAAATATAAACATAAGAAAACATTTACAGCAGAAAAGGGGAAGGCGCTGGGTTAGGCCGGAGTCTCATGCATCCGAAATCCGATGACACGACGATCCGACGGTGCTCCTATTGGTCGAAATATTTTGACACCAATTTTTATCCGATATTTTTAACTAATCGTCCGACGTCGTATAAAGTTAAATATTGTTCAACTTTTGTACGATATCGTGTGTTTTTTTAACCTCACTTTTTTGAAAACATTGGTTTTAAAAACAAGTTTAGTGGGAACAGGACAATTTCGGGATATTTTTTATTAAAGTTACTCTGATATACTAATATATATATATATATATATATATATAGTTATTTATAAGTGTTTCTCCAATAATACATGTAATAATGTTGATACTGTTGATAGGAAATGACAGGTCTAAATGTCAAAACTGTCAAATTTCAGAAACGAACTTTCGGATGTATGTGACAGGCTTTTTTTATTTCACAGGATAACTTCAAATTTCGGATGTCGTACCATCGGATTTCGGATGCATGAGACTCCGGCTTTAAACGTAGTCTCTACTAAAAACACGGAAGGGCGCTTTGACCCAAAATTTTACTATTAAGTTTCATATCTATCTTAATAGTAGATTATTTTCTTTTATCTATGTTTCTATTTCAAATATCTCGAAAACCATTACTCGTAGCGATTTTTACCAAGAGACCTTTTTCACGTAAGAAACGTCGTAAATGTATATTTTATTACTCAGTAGTTTTATACAGGTACGGAAAAGTTATTACTCTTCAAACCAGTTAAAACATATGTAGGTGGCGCCCTCTACCAGTAGGAGTCATATTAACATCAAAATCAAATTTCTCATGTCAAAAAAACTTCCAGACACCAATTTTCATCTAAATATTGACGTTACTTCAGAAATTATTTGGAAAAAATCGAAATAAAATTGAAACTTCTACACCCTGTATCTCCGAAACTAAGCATTTTAGGACATATATTTATACGAACTTTTATACTTATTTTTATCTGCAGAATATGCTGCCGAAGTTTCCGGAATACAGTTCGGACCACCCTGTATATATTTTTTTCATTCTAAGTTATGTTATTATGAATTATTCATAGAGAAACAAATAAACAGGGCCTTGAAATAATTTACGATCAGCTGTCATTGTCACAGACAGAGTAAAACTCGTACTGAAATGTTTTTTTTTCTATGCCTACTATAACGTCGGTTTTATTCCACCACACGGTATTTTTTTCTATTCTAGTTTACCTATTACCGGACGATTTCACAACGGTTCAAAATTTTGCGCAAGTCATTAAAGATCTATCTCATCTCTATATTTTAAATATACCAGAAAATGAGAGTTTTATAGAAAATAGAGATAACTTAGTCAAGGATGTAGCAGGCAGCACAAGAATCTATCTGGTCGTTCCTGAAGAATTAATGAAATCGTTCAGTGCCGATCACGAAAAAATGGAGGCAAAGAAACAAAAAATGCTGAAAGAATTCGAAAAGATTAAGAACTTAATCAGTGGAGAGATTTTCCAGGAAAAAGCGCCAAAGCAGTATCAGGAAAGTCAAAGGAAAAAGGTATTTATACAGGGTGTTTCAAAAAACATGTGCCATTTCTCGTGGGGAGATTCCTCACGTAAAAATAAGATTTATTTTTCATATCGACATAGGCCCGATTCTGCTTTGTTTCGTAGCTACAGGGTATTCATAATCTTTCGATTTATTATAATTTTTTGCCAAGTACTTTTAGTGATTCGAATGAAATTTTGAGGGTAAAAGTTACTGTTAGTGCTACATATTTTAATGCCAAAAAAGTGTCGATAAATTAATCAGGGTCGTGCATATGGGTTATCACTGGAATATTTTTCAAAAATAAAATATGTGCGCCACTGATTTTTTCTTTTGATATCAAAATTGAATATGCCGTTTAATGCCAATTAAAAGTTATCTCTTGATATTTTGTCGAATTCGACCTCCTTGATGAGATAAACGCAATTTTATTAATCACAATTATTAATTTTATTTAAAATAAAAATCAAATTAATAAATTATATATTTTACCTAATTTATTATTAAATATTATTACTATTAGTCCAACCTACAGCAATTTCAAATTATTGATAGAGGAACAAAAGACTAATTTTAAAAAGTGTTAACATCCTGTAACGCTAAAACTATACACTTCCATATCCATGTTTATAGGAATTTTTCATATTTTTTGATGAGTTATTCATTGATTCAATGAGTACTAATTTAAAACTTTCGCAAGTTAATGATATTAAATTTTTTTAAAGGTTGCAATTAAAAAAATTGCGGTTATCTCATCAAGGAGGCCGAAAGCGACAAGATATCAAGCAACAACTTTTAATCGGCATTAAACCGCTTACACTATTTCGCTAACAAAAGAAAAAAAGTCAGTGGCGTACATGCTTTTTTAGAAAGATATTCCAGCGATAACCCATATGCATGTCTCTAATGAATATGTCGGCACTTTTTTAGCTTTAAAATATGTCGCATTTATAGTAACTTTTACCCTCAAATTTTCATTCAAAACGCTAAAAGCACTGGGAAGAAGATTATAATAAATCGAGAAAATATTGAGATTTTAACACCCTGTAGCTACGGAACAACGCAGAATCGGACCTATGTTGATATGAAAAATAAATCTTATTTTTACGTAAGAAATCTCCCTACGAGAGATGGCACATGCTTTTTGAAACACCCTCTATTTATATCATAGATATAAAGTCTGTCCAACGAGGGAATACATAACAGTGACAATTGTCTGTCATTTGAATTTACAGGTAAAATGTGTTTTTAGTAGTAGAAAACTCCCCTGACTCGTTGGGCAGAATTTGCATAGATGATATAATGTGTAATAAAATATACTTCATATAAAGACGAAAAATTATGATAAAACTTATATCAATCTTATTCTAAGGATATATCGTACTTCTATTTTATTTATTTACCTGAGGGTTACCTTGCTCTTTTTGTTATCAAGTACATATTAATTAAAAAAATAGAAACAATGAAAGTGCGACAACGATTTTTTATTTCAAACTAATTTTAATCTACCATTTTTTAGCTCACTGTACTTGAAGAAAAGATATCACGAATTGACACCATTCAAAAACTGACAAGTAGGACGCCCTAGTTTAATAAAAAAAAATATATAAAGTAACATAAAACATTTGTAATATCACGTTTAAGTAAATAAAATATATAACATAGAACTCTATAAATTGTTTACGTTACATTACAATTTACAATGTACACATCATGATATTTATATAATCTATACAGGGTGATATGTATGGGAACCGTCGATTATTATGTAAAATATACAAGGTACAGCAAAACGTTATAGGGTTCTTAAAGGTCTAGTAACTAGTAGTAAATTTAAGTACACAGGATCGGTCATAAAGTTGTGTGAAGCACATCATAATTTTTTTTTAATGCAGCCCCCTGTATATTATTGCATATTTCAATTCTTCCTTCAATTAATAAATTAAAGAAGCGAAATGTTAGACGAAAATTTTGTAATTTCCAGACTTGATATAATCTCATTTTATACATCTATAAATGCTAACTTGAAAACTAATGTCTAATATAATTAAGTATCACAGTTTTGCCAGAATAGCATCGTTAAACGAAACTGAACATATCGAAATTAATTAAATCAAATTGTTTAAGAGATATTCATGTGGGTTATTCCATTTAAAAAAAAAATAAATTTTGTAGTGCCAACGACTTTATGACCGACCCTGTATACTTAAATTTATTACTCGCTAATAGACATTTATAACTCTGTTTTTTTTCTCAGGTAAGATTTCGACAGACGATGACAGAAGAAGAGACATACCAATCTATTTATTTTACTAAAAAAGTTTCTAATAATTTTTAAGTTAACTATGGATGGGTTTAAATATAAATCCGTCATGCGTCGTCTCTTGTTGTTTTTAACCAGTTTTATTGGTTTATTTAAAAAATGACAGATCGTATTTCAATTTTATTGGTTTGACGGAACGATGAACGACAAACGGACGCCGATGCGTATGAACTCGCCTTTAAATTTTTGACGCTTGTCAAAGTCTTGCTAAATTATAGGTTATAATTTTGTGTCAACTTTTGTCAAATACCCTGCGTTTTGGAAGATGATGCATTTTGATTCGTGTTATTACGTGTGTTTTGTGTCTTTTGAAGTCAAGTGGAGGCAAAATCGAGTGAAAATTAACTGTAGACCCAGAGCACAGTTTATGGTTAATACTCGCTGCCCAGGCAGAAAGTCTTATACACCAATAAAGTTACCATCAATAAAGTTCGTATACCATCTCGTCGTAGATAAGTGCATCTCGAATATGGAAGAAGGACCATACCAAACACATACTAAAAACTGGAGTAGCTGTAAAATATCGACATCACACGATAGGTAAATAATGGATTTTAGTACTGCAGAAAAACAATGGTACTGGTCAAGTATGTAATGGTCAAAAGGTACTGGTTTAAAAAAATTAAGATTAAAGTTAATTAATCAACGTTTAGGGTATAAAATTTGGTAAGTGTTATTAATAAAATAGTTTGTTTTATTTATGTTGTTTTATTTATTCCAGTGGAATATTACAAATTTGTATTTGTACATAAGTTATATTGATAAATATAATCATAAATGCGGGAAGTTTCATAAAGCTTGAAAGTAAGAAATAGTTCTTTTTTATATTTTTTGGTATGAGCATGGTGTCTTGTTCTTGTTTGTTTTGTATTAACACATACCGTTTTTTATTAAATAAAATAACTCGATTACATTTTTTCAGTTTTATACAGTTTTTTCACAATATTTTGAAGTAATCACTTGTCAGCCAAATTTTAAATATATTAATTTCCTGCTATGCGTTCCAGTTGTACCAACTTATTTCTTTGTAAAGTAAAATAAACTACTTTGAAAATTAAAATGACAGACACATCTATCACTGTCAAGGATCTTCTCGTTGGACAGACTATAATTAAAAACCCTATAACTTTTATATTTAACTTTTTGCGGTACCTCGTATATTTACCTAATAATCGACCGTTCCCATACATATCAGCAACCCTGTATATATTTTCTAAAAAGAAGATTTGGAAGGATCCTATTTCAGTTAATATCACAGATTAGGTATCCTATGAGTATACAGATAAAAATCTTGTCCTTAATTCGTGTTATGAAAATTGTTTTTTATGACGATGAGCAAACGAGTAAATTTTCTTGTGCGCAAAAATAAACTCCTGTTTAAACAGCGTAATAACAGGGCCGGTCAGGCGCTGTGCACAATTTTAGAGGCCATAAGTGGGCGTGCTATGTGCGCAAACTAGTAACCTAACTAGTGCGCGACTCCAAAAATTGAACCACGAAAAACAATGCTTTTGACGATAAGTTTATAATCTGTATAATCTGTGTTAATATGGAACTTTGTAAACTAAAAAAAAATCTGAAACATCCAGATATCTTTACAAAACTAGTCTAATACAAATTTTAGACGAAAAATATCGTGACTATAGTCTGTAAAACGAATAACTTTGAATTTGACAATTCCCGCGGGCTTTTCTAGTGTTAATTTTATTAGGTTATCAACTTGCGGCCATGCTGACGCAATGCCGTCTCTAATAGAATAGCCTCAGAGCGAGATTTATGACGTCACGCTAGTTAGGATTAATAAGTATGTTGTAGAACACATGGACAACACTAATTATTCCTCTTATTTTTGGTTTGTATTTTAAAAATGATATAGTTTACATGAAATATACATAATATACAGTTAATAAATACAATATATATACCTATTTATAGTAATAAATACTTTGGCAGATAAACTATAAACCGTACAAATACAGCAAATGTTTTACAATATGGCTGAAATCGTACTCCATAGTCAATGTAGATAGTTTTTGTGTTAAGAATAATAATTTAAAAAAAATATGTGGTCATCTTTTGACAAGTTTATATTAGTTTATTAATTGCAGTAAACATTATAATATATAAATAAATTTTGTGATTGCAAATAATAATACACTATTAGTAGATATTGAATGTTTTTTTGTTAAATTAGATCGATTTTCAAACCCCAAAATTTAAAATATATTTTACATTTTACCCAATATTTGTATATTGTAAAACATTTGCTGCATTTGTATGGTTCATAGTTTATTTGCCAAAGTATCTATTACTATAAATAGGTATATATTATATTGTATTTATTAACTGGTATATTATGTATATTTCATGTAAACTATATCATTTTTAAAATACAAACCAAAAATACGAGGAATGATTACGTTTTCCATGTATTCTACAACATATTTATTAATCCGTAGTATCTAACTAGCGTGACGTCAAAAATCTCGCTCTGTGGCTGTTCTATTAGAGACGGCATTGGTCTAATATTTAGAAATGTCAAAAGCTGATGACATTTTACTTTTGTCAATTATGACATTTCGTTTTGATTTTTGCAAGAAGAGGAAGAACTGTCACTTGTTTTATTATTTTCCTTTTCTATTTCACGAAAGTAAAAAGAGTTACCTATCTGATTCGTTCAGGCCCTCAATTTAAAGAATATCAGTAATTTTTTTGATAGAGGGATTTTATATTTGCCATGTTGGTAAAAAATAACGATCAAAATTCAAAGTTATTCATTTTATAGACTATATAGTTGTTTTACACTGATGGCTCGAAATCTGACCAAGGTGTTGGCTGTGCTTTTTACAGCTCGGTTGCTAATAAAAAAAAACAGATTACCTAATTTCTTTGGCATTTTAACAGCTGAACTCACAGCTATTTATCAGGCTCTTATCCAAATTCGGAGCATGCCACCGATTAAAGCATTAATATTATCTGATTCACTTAATTCCCTCAACAGTATTGCTTCTTTAACCCCCAAAAAATCTCTAACCTGCAGCATTCGAGATCTAGTCTATAAACTTAATGAAAGAAACTACAATATTAAATTTAATTACGACTTCACGTCGTTAAGTTTATGTGGATTCCTGGATACTCTGACATTGCTGGTAACGACCTAATATATATTCTCTTGCATGCGGATCTTTCTGTAAAGTTGTTATAACCCTCACAGGACACTCATATCTTACGAAATCCTATATCATCAGAAATGAACCCACTCCGAAATGCACCTTATGCAATAATTTAATGTCAATGAGACATTCTTTTTGAATGCTTACCTGTTGCCTCCCATAGGTCTAGATTCTTTAATGCTGTTACCTATGAAAATATTTTCGCGCCTTTTAACAATTCGTAGATTAATAAAGTTATGGAATTCTTAGACAGCATCAACATAACGAAAATACTTTAATTTCTAATAATTTAAAATAACCTCATATTAACTAAAGCTTATTATTGAGCGCTAAAAACCTTCGCTGTTGACGCGCTCTATAAACCAATACCTCTCTCTCTCTCTAAAAAAATTTGTCGATTATTATATAGGGTGAATCCCTGAAAGGTTTGTTTTTAGTAATCGTTATTGTCATTTGATTAGGGGTTATAATTGTATTGACGGACATCGATCAGTGTCAAAATTAAAATTTGATTGAACTGTTAACCAATTTTTGAACGATTGCCCAACAGCCTTTATATGTATCTTGCTTAAAACAAAAAACAACGAACACATACAGCTTATGTAAAGCTGAAATTTGAGAAGATATATAAACGATAATGTAAAAAAATATTTATATATTTATTTGGCAGTACATTATGGCAATATAACACAAAAAATGCAATTTTAAGCGACCTCTGGCGAAGGTACTTGGTAAGATGAAGGTCTGATCATCATCCGCGCTTGCAAGAGTCCTACTTGTGGTCCACCAAACTCACCCCAGTACATTCCTTGGTACAGCATTAAATCTGGCAGATTCCCAGGCATGTACTTCGCGTTTAGATTGCTCTTATCGCAACTTTTGTACCACCAGCCGCCATCTAAAAATATTGAAATAATATATACCCTGTATATTGTTGTCCTCCAGTTCGCTTGGAAATGACGATCGATGACATTTTCCATATAAAATGACAGCAATCTTCATTTCTAAGCCATCTCGGACGTTTTTTTCTAGTCATATTTTATTCACAACTAGCGTGTACCCGCGACTTCGTTTGCGACGAATTAATCATTTGTAATGGTGATGATAAAGCAAAGCAAGAATTTCCATTAACATACAAACTGGATAAAATTTTCCCACATTTATGTCAGCATGAGAAAAACAATATGGCGATATTATTATATAACTTGGTAATATTTGAGCGGTAGTTTCATATCGTTGGAATTTGACTTTCGAAAAATCCGTTTGCAACAAATAAGCTTTTTACATCAAGCAGTTTAAGCAGAATCGTGGTTAATCAATTACCCAACTTTTTGGAACACCCTGTATAATTTTTTAAAAAATTTCAAAATATGTAAAAAACAAAATAAATTATACGTGTCCAAGCGTTTTCCCGAAAGACTAACCGTTTTTTAAATAACAAATATTGTAATATTTGAGGGGCGTTTTCACCCTCTTGGAATGTGAGATTCGAGAAACCCCTCCTTATCGAACCTCTACACCCCACAGTCAATCCGTTTGCCAAAAATCAGCTTTAAACGTCAAGTAGTTTAAGCAGAATCGTGATTACTCAATGGCCAAATTTTATGAAACACCCTGTATAAATTTATAAAAAATCTTAAAATATGTAAAACAACAAAATAAAATATTTGTGTTTAAGAGTTTTTCCGAAAAACTCACCGGTTTTTAAATCAAAATTTATTCTAATATTTGAGGGGTAGTTTCACCCCCTTAGAATTCGAGTTTCGAAATATCCCTTCTTATCGAACCTCTACACCCTAAAGTCAATCCGTATTCCAAAAATCAGTTTTTTACGTCAAGCGCTTTAAGCAGGGTCGTGATTAATCAATGACCAGATTTTTCGAAACACCCTGTATACATTTTTAAAAAATCTTAAAATGTGTAAAAAAACAAAATAAAATATACTTGTTTAAGCGTTTTTTCGGAAACTTGACCGTTTTTTAAATAAAAAATATTGTAATATAAGGGGTGGTTTCACCCCCTTGGTACTGGAATTTCGAAAAATCCCTTCTTATGGAACCTCTACACCCTACAATCAACCTGTATGCCAAAATTGAGCTTCTTACGTTGAGTAGTTTGAGCAGGATCGTGATTAATCAGTGAGTCAGTCACTTAATAGACCGAGAGCTGGCTACATAAAAAATCTTATCATCGTTACATGGCTAATTTTTTGTGTGAAGTATCCTTTTGTGTAGCCATTGTGAAATAGTTATGTCTGCCAGCGCGATCCCGGGGCTTAAAGCGAGGGCGGCCAATCGAAAGGGTGAAATTTTGACACTAAAAATATTATTAGGTACACGAGTTATAATTGCCAAATAGCTTTTATTTATTATTAGGAAACGTGTAAAATTGTCGACAGACATTTTTCTCGTGGATGAAATGCCGGCAGACAACGCGAAAGAGGCATAGATTTTTGACAAAAGAAAATCATCGCATACATGCATGTCGGTTGGTGGAATGTCATGTTTATTGTTAATTAATTTAAAAAGCCGTATGCAAAAGGGCAGACAAAAAAATCGTTATTGAAATAATAAAAAAATATATTTATAATATAATCGTATATGATTTATCTATACTTAAATGGATGAGGCGGCCAGCGCTCCCTGAATTAAGCGCTAGAATAATATGGCGCTTTTGATAACTGTCTGCAGCTGATTGAGCCACGATCTTTTTGTCTGCCCTTTTGCATACGGCTTTTAAAATAATTTTTTTCATTCTTCAAATTTCATTTTTTAAAAATTTTTAAAATTTGATGCTTCTTTCGCGTTGTCTGTCGGCATTTTAGCGACTAGAAAAATGTCTGCCAACAATTTTCCACGTTTCTTAATAATAAATAAAAGCTATTTTCGCAATTATAACTCATGTATCTTATAATATTTTTAGTGTCAAAATTTCACCCTTTCGATTGGCCGCCCCCGCTTTAAGCCCAGGGATCGCGCTGGCAGACATGACTATTTCATAATGGCTACACAAAAGGATACTTCACACAAAAAATTAGCCATGTAACGATGATAAGGTTTTTTATGTAGCCAGCTCTTAGACTATAAGGATTTTATATACTAGTATAGATTACACGTTAACAATACTAAAATAGTACTTTTTTACATACTGTGAGATTGTGCGCAGTTTCCCTCATGCCAGGTATCTTGGTCTCTGTCCATGGTACTAAACTTGCTTCCAGCGTGGTACATCAAGGAATTTCCGGCATTTCCCTGATACCCGCTCAGAACTTTGAGGGCGTAGCCTTCCTCTTCTGATCCAACGCTAAACGACGAATAATAGGCGAATCTGTTGATATTATTTGGATCGATCAACTCTATGAGAAGTTCATTCAGGTTGCTACCTAAAAAAAATAATGTTATACAGGGTGGGTCAAATTCGACGCTTTTAAATGGAAACACCCTTTTCTATAGGAGATAGACGAAAACTAATATCGGTGTCTGGAGCTCAATTTTCATCAAAAACATGATGGTGAAAACCGCACATCAATATCTGTTACCGTTTCGGAGTTACGGAGTGTTTTTCAAAAATGTGTATTTTAAACAAATCGCTATAACTTTTTTGCTATGGAAAATTTTATATTTCTATGAAAATATTTCCAAAGCACCTTCTTACGTAGAATTTAATGGTTTAAGTATAACTTTTTTAAAATGAATAATTTAAGAGTTATCAACAGAAAATTGATTTTTTATTTGGGACACCGTATATATTTTTTAATTAACTGGAAGAGAATTTAAAATTACCTTTTCAAAAATATAGCACACTTGATATTTTGTTATAATCCCCTTCGAAATACAGAATTTTTAAAAGCTCGCCACTTTTAACTAGTAGGCTTTGGGCCCCTTATTGATGATATGCCTTTAATGGAACTCTAAAACATATTTTTCCGGCAAGACGACGCATCGCCTCTGAACGCTGAAGTTATCAGCAAATTTTTGCAGCCAATTTCAAGAATAATTGGATAGCTAACCAAGTACTATCCAATAGTACCCATGGATCTAATCCTATGGATATATTTGCGGAAGAATAAAGGTCCCTTATTCTTCCTTATAATCGAGACAAGAATTAAAAATACTTAGCACTTATGAGAGGGTATCTTTCACCCCCACTGAGTTAATGAATACCGCGAGAAATGTTCAAAAACTGCCCCGTCTACCCATAACAGAAGACGGTCGATATAAATGAACACCTGTAGCAAAAACTCATGTCTTGGTTTGCTACTTATTTTTATTGTTATTAGATATAGTTTAAATGTATTGATTGGTTAAATATATTTTAAATTGTTATAAAATTCTGCATCTCCCATAGCAAATATTATTTCCGTTTTAATTGATGCTCACAGCTAGAATTTTTTTGCATTACAGTCGGTGTCGTTCAAAGTAAGGTTCAAAGCCTACTTATTTAAAGCGGGCGAATTTTTATATACTCTATATCTCGAAGAGGAATCGAGCAAAATATCAACTGTGTTATATTTTTAGAAAGGTAAGTTTAAATTCTTTTCAATAAAGTAAAAATACACAGGGTGTCCCATATAAAAAATCAAATTTTCTGTTGATAATTCTTAAATTATTAATTTTAAAAAAATTATACTTAAACCATTAAATTCTACGTAAAAAGGTGCTTTGGAAACGTTTTCATAAAAATACAAAATTTTCCATAGAAAAAAAGTTACAGCGATTTGTTAAAAATGCATATTTTTGAAAAACACCCCGTAACTCCGAAACGGTAACAGATATCGATATGCGGTTTTCACTATCTTGTTTTTGATGAAAATTGAGCTCCAGACACCGATATTAGTTTTTGTCTATCTCCTACAGAAAAGTGTGTTTCCATTTAAAAGCGTCGAATTTGATCCACCCTGTACAGGGTGGGTCTCCACCTCTCCTCTCCACACCTCTCATACGCCGCGGAAACGCCAAGGAGAACAGTAGTTTATATCGAAATGAAATTTTAACAGCAAATGTAGGTTAACTGCAAAAATGTGCTTATTTTGCTGCTTATTAAAGCATTTTTTAAAAATATATGTAGTTATACAGGGTGTCCCCAAAAAAAGTTACACATCAAAGTTGTGTTTTTTCTAACGGAACACCCTATATATTAATTAATTTTCGGATTTTAGAAAAAAAATAAAGGTGAGTTTCATTAAAGAAGCATATACCTAAAATCTAAGGATTTTGACATATTTCACATTTTGTGAAAATGAAGAGTAATTTTTCAAATTCAATAACAGCTACCTAAATTTTAGTTGACCTTGTATAGCCTGATATTTAATTACAGTAACCATTGTATGTTAAACCAAATTAAAATTTGACCCGAAAAGTTATACAGGGTGAGACAAAATTAATATGGAATATTAGTCACTTTTAAAAGCAAGTTACTCCTTTATTTTAAATGGAACACCCAGTATATTTTTTCAGTGTTCAATGGGGAATTTATATATCTTCAAAATATTATTAAGGTTGCCTACCCTTCAGACAAAGGTTTTCCTAGATATTTTAATTTTTATGATTTTGCGTCAGTAGATCTTTATTATTTGAAAAAATCTAGGGTGGCTGTGTGATATACCTTTTGTTAATTTAACAAAAATTAAACTAATAACTTAACTACTAAAACTCCCTACAACAGGGGTATGATGGGTTCCCATATAACACACAATATCCGCAGGATTTTCATAGAATGTCGGAATGTCCCATTATAAGATCATCTTATAAACATCTATAGGATATTCTCCAGACATCCTGAAATCCAGTAGATGTCTCAGAATTGAATATCCTATGGATATCTCTGTCGTATATCTAATGTACATCCAGCTGAGATATCCAAACATGCTCATGATAATAAAATATCCTAACAATATCGTCTAGATATTTACTACTTTTTATATTACATAAAATGCAATAAACCATACAGATAGATATATATTACGTCAAGGCAACAAAATATCCTGTTGGTATCTTCTGGATAATCTGGATATTTATGAGCTTGGCCACTCCCAGTAATACAGAGAATTTAAAAAGCCCGCGCAAAAAAATTCCCACAATCCATCTCGACAGTTGTTTGTTTTTGCATCGTGTATTATTCAGTTCTTTGATTTAGTGAAATTCGAGGTGAATGCGGCCGTGTGTCGATATTGATTGAGCTTAAAAATAACTGAAACTAACAAGACTGGTTGAGTTTGACTTAGTTTTTTCATATACTCATAGTTCTAGCCTTGTTCTAGCAGAAATTCTATCCTAACCTCAACTAATGTCAAAAAACGACGAACGACTCAGGGTCTCACAATGAAAAATTTGTGACTAAATTATAGGTGAAAATTTGTTGAAAAGCGCTTGTTCTTTATCCCTAAACCCATTTTCGTGTTTGATCTATTCAAACAGAAATCCTATTTTTGTGTTTAAATTCTGAATTTCTGGAATGTGTGGTGTTAGAAATTATACCTGTATCCTGTGTGCTAACTTTGATGTAAACTGTTGCTGCTAGACATAAACTGCTAGACTCCATAAAGGGTAGTATAATCTGGTATAATACCACTATAATACCATAAGATCGAAAAACACGGCGTCAGAGGTGGCTTGGAAATGAAGATTGCTGTTATTTTGTATGTAAAATTATATGGGGAATGTCATCGATCGTAATTTTAAAGCCAATTGAACGCCGTTTTTTTTTCGATGGTACAGTATAAATTGAAAGCTCTTAACTCATACAAATAAACTTCTAAATTTTGACATAATATGTAGGTATATTTTAGACCTGTTAATAAAAATATCCAATGAATAACGTCAAAATGTGGCTAAATAAAACTAAATCGCGAACGTTTTTACTATGAACTAAGGATGAAGTAAGTATTGTCAAATAACAGTCCTCATATAATGTCCTAAAAATATTCTATAATGCTCCCAACATCATCCTTGTATTATCCTATAAATAATAAATATCCCAAATAATCGTAAAAGGCTTGCCTAGGGATGTCTTGAAGATGACTTTTTTTGTCCCATCTATTATATCTATAGGATTGTGTTGTGTTATATGGGTTATAGATTGTGTGATGACTCAAGGAAGGGGGATACAATAGATTTTTAAGGTCGCAGTGATTTACCCCCCCCCCTTACTCATTCTACATTCTGTAACACACCTGTTAGCTGATGAATTTTCTCCAAACCGAGCCACGACTCGCCGGCAATATTGCCGAATCCATTCTTGTAGTCTTGCCATCCCAAAGCGAAGTCCTGACTGCCCTGGTATCTGTTGTGGATGACCGACCAGCCGCCATCTTGCGTCTGCATTTCGCAATAGACCGGAAACGGTCGTTCCGCGGTTTCCGGTTGAATCAGGTATACACCGGAAGGGACGGTGACGTTTCTCAGTTTCAGCCATGCGCAGTTCGTCGGAATTCCGCTAGACGGCTCTGTGGATTTCGGAGATTGCGCACTAAAAACGGTGTCTATGGCCGAGTGGACGTCAATTTTGTCCAACAGAGAACTAAAAAGAAGAAAAAAGCATACATACAGATATTTTTATTTTGAAATGACTACAACTTTTGAATTTTAAATGGCACCCTCGGTATATTTTTACTTTATTCGATAGAAAATGACACTCTGAATAGAATGACATATCATATGTCAACTTTTGACATTTTCGCTTAAAAATCGTATTTTAAATTTCCATCTAGAGTGCCATGGCTGTGTTAAAAACACTAATTTTTAATCAAGGAGCCTTGGAAAAATAGACTTGATCGTCTAATGTGCCTTGTCCTGGCCAATTAAAAGGTGCTCAAATCGTATTTTTAATCATATCTCATTTTTTCCAAATGGAACGAGGGTGGATCATTAGCATATTTGTAAAAGCATTTTTTTACGAATAATTTAGTAAAACACACTTCGTATTTGGAGTCAAATTGTCGTTATGAACCGCATGTTACAATTTCAAATAAACCAAATGTGAAAATGTCAATAGTTGATATATGACTATTCAGTGTCATTTTCTGTCAAATGCAGTAAAAAAATACCGGGGGTGTCATTTAAAAATCAAAAATCATTGTCATTTCCGGTGAAAGAGGAAATGATCGAAAACAATTGAATACATCAACCAATCATAATAATTTCTGTCATATACTAACATACCAAATCTTGTTTTTTTTTATCTGAAAAAATAAAAAAGTTAAAGGGGGTTATAATACAATAGGTTATATTGAGAAACAGCCGGTATACAATATTGTAGTAAATTTCCCTATTTTAATTTCACTAAGTGCAATGCTAACGTATGATCGAAAAAACGGCGTCCAGTTGGCTCGGAAATTACGATCCTTCCTCCATTTTCTTTGCCAAAAATGTCTCTAAAACCACAAGTAAAACTTCTAATCTTTAAACCATCATACCTGACAGAAGAACTGTCGTCAGTTTTCTAGATTGTCTTTCGTTTTAAATTACAGGTAAACCGGCATGTGTATAATAACAAAAAAATATTAATTTTGATATTTGTCATACCAAACTAAAGAAAATTAAAATTATTATTATTATTATTATTCCAAAAATCAATAGTAGGCGGGTAAAACCCGATGAGACTATTGAATCACATAATCACATTCATCTATCACAGTTGTAAAAATAAATAAATAAATACTGCACTGCGTACATTCAATTAAAAAACAAATTACCAATCAAAATTAACATCACAGTTTACGATCACATGTAGTGAATAAAAAGGTTGTTCCAGCTCTTCATTTCCACATCAAGTCTATTCTTAAATGTATTTACACTTATAGCATTCACTGTATCATAGTGGAGCCTGTTTCAGCTATACACTACTCTATTTGTAATAAAGTTCCGCCTTAAGAGCTTGTTACAGCGTTCTTTATCCAATTTTTTGTTATGTCCCCTAAGGTTGTGCGTTTCACTGATACGGAAGATGTTCTTGACGCATCCATAGTAGCCACTTGTAATTTTGAATGTCTCGATGAGATCGCCACGAATTCTCCGTTCACGATGAGTTGTTAGACCAAGCCTTTGCAGTCGATCCTCGTATGGCAAATTCCTCATCTCCAAAGGAATCTTAGTGACCCTCCGCTGAACACGCTCAAGCATTTCAATGTCCCTGGCATAATAGGGGTTCCATATATGCATTGTGCATATTCAATCTTTGGTCTAATGCATGACTTATACAACTTGAGTATCATCTCGCCAGATTTGTTTGCAAATGCTGCTTTTATTAAGTAGATCATTGTATTGGCTTGTTTAACTATGCGATTTATATGGTATTCCCACTTCAGATTTTCCGCAATTTCAATGCCGAGGTCTTTTTGATGTTGCACACTTGAGACTTCTGTCTGCTCCAGATAGTATCGTTGATGTGGGTTATTAGGGCCAATGTGGAGAATGGTGCATTTTGAGTTGTTCAGTGGCATTTTCCAGATATTCGTCCACGCTTTAATGGTTGTTAAGTCTTCTTGGAGCAAATTTTTTTCAGTTAGGGGATTGCAGTACACATTTGTATCGGCGAAGGATATGTATAGTTGGTTTTAAGGGTAGGGTATAAGTCACTCAAGCAAATAATAAATAGTAGCGGGCCCAATACTGAGCCTTGTGGCACACCATTGTGAACCAAGTATTCGTCTGAAAGTGCTGATCCCACACGCACCTGGAAAGTACGGTCTCGCAAAAATGAGTTTATCAATGCCAAGATACGTCCCCTAACACCATAATGTTCCAGCTTGCATATCAAGTAATCAGCTGGGATGTTGTCAAAATCCTTCTCGAAGTCTAGGTAAATGACATCCGTCGGTTGCATGATGTCATGTGCCAAGGTCCACTGCTGAAGCCTGGATAGAATATTGGTTGTTGTAGACCTCCGAGGAAGGAAACCATGTTGTTCAGGTGGTATCACTTGGTTCGCCAAAAAGAAATCAGTCAGCTCCCTTGCCACGATTTTCTCCAGACACTTACAAATGACACTTGTCAAGCTAATAGGTCGATAGTTTTCGATTATTTAGAATTATTTTTGTAATTCACGAATTTTAAACTATCGTTGACTCGCCCTGTAGGTAGATTAAACTCATACTTACTTTGTATTATTTTCTAATCGCGATACATTGAATTTTAGACTGGCAACGTCAGAGCTAAGCAGTCGCAATGTGGCAATAGTCAACTTGACACCTCTGTCGATTTCGTCAATTCTTTCGTCGATTTTATTCTCATTTGGATTGCGCTGGTTAATATCATACCTACGAGGTCTTTCTAAAAATAATACATAATTTAAAAGCAATAAAAGCATGAGAAGGTGAAAAAAACGTCGTCACAGTGACCTTTGAAATAAATAACCATTATTTTTTATTGCATTCGTTTTTTGAAAAACTTTAGAATTAAATTTTATGTTTAAATGCGTTTTATAAGTAAAATTTGGTTAGATTGTTAATATCGTAATCAAAATACCTAGGAGGTATTTTAGTTTAAACTTGATGGATAGGAACAGGATATATTAGTTTATTTTTCTGGAGTATATTTAGTTTATTATTTGGATGAAATGAATTTTCGAGAGGTAATTTTCAAATTCCAACGTGATGTAAAACGAAAGCAAGTTAATACCTCTTTAAGTGTAAACTAAACTTACTAAAATAAATTAAATCTAAATCTACAGGGTGGTCCGAACTGTATTCCGGAAACTTTGACAGCATATTCTGCAGATAAAAATAAGTAAAAAAGTTTGTATAAATGTACATATGTCCTAAAATGCTTAGTTTCGGAAATACCGGGTGTAGAAGTTTTATATTTATTACGATTTTTTCCAAACAATTTCTGAAATAACGTCAATATTTGGATGAAAATGGGCGTCTGGGAGTTTTTTGACATGAGAAATTTTATTTTGATGTCAATAGGACTCCTATTTGTAGGGGGCGCCACCTACATTTGTTTTAACTGTTTTAAAGAGTAATAACTTTTCGTCCGTACCTGTATAAAGCTACTGAGTAAAAAAATATACATTTCCGTGACTTTTTACGTAAAAAATATCTCTTAGTAAAAATCGCTCCGAGCAACCGTTCTGAAGATACTTAGAACGGAAATAGTCAATACATGTCATTATTGACAACAAATAAACACGTAGGAGTTAGATAGTTATTTGACTGAAATAATAAATTTAGTAAATTTTAATTTTTTCTATATCATATCATATATATCTATAATCATAATTTTTTCTGCGAAAAAAAATGACGAGAAAACAGTTTCTGTTGAACTTTTAGCAAAAAAACATTTAAAATTTATAATTTCAGTCTAATAACTATTTAGTCAACATGTTTAATTTATGTCAATGATGACAGGTATTGATAAATTCAATTCCAAATATCTCGAAAACCATTACTCGTAGGGATTTTTACCAAGAGACCTTTTTTAGGTAAAAAACGTCAAAAATGTATATTTTTTACTCAGTAGTTTTATACAGGTACCGACGAAAAGTTATTACTCTCCAAACCAGTTAAAAAATATGTAGGTGTTTAATTTATGTCAATGATGACAGGTATTGATAAATTCAATTCCAAATATCTCGAAAACCATTACTCGTAGGGATTTTTACCAAGAGACCTTTTTTAGGTAAAAAACGTCAAAAATGTATATTTTTTACTCAGTAGTTTTATACAGGTACCGACGAAAAGTTATTACTCTCCAAACCAGTTAAAAAATATGTAGGTGGCACCCTCTACAAGTAGGAGTCATATTGACATCAAAATCAAGTTTCTCATGTCAAAAAACTCCCAAGCACAAATTTTCGCCCAAATATTAATGTTACTTCAGAAATTATTTGGAAAAATCGAAATAAAAATGAAACTTCTACACCCAAGCATTTCAGGACATACCTTTATACGAACTTCTTTACTTATTTTTAACTGTAAAATATGTTGCCGAAGTTTCCGGAATACAGTTCGGACCACCCTGTATAGTAATAATAGTTATTATACCAGGGTGAGTCTTAAATAAGCGCAAATATTTTCAGGGCTGGTAGATCTCGAAAAAAGAAACATATTTTCTCTTTACCGTTTTTCAAATAAATCCAAAATAGCCGAGATATTATACCACACGAGTACAGAATCACACCCTGTATATTTGCTACTATTAAAACCTTTGATTAGAACTAATTAAATGTAAACAATAGTTTCACGGACACCCTGTACAATGTCCTGAATTAGAGTGTCATTGAATTATATTATCGTTATCTTTATTGCTAGTTAAAAATAGTTTTTTTTAAATACGTTTTCTATGTAATTGACTTAAAAATACTTTTTTAAGGAAAAGGGTTTTAAGGAAAGTGGCAATATGTACACAGGGTATTTAAAATTATTGAAATGACAAATAGAATTCTAGAGATGATCTACAGGGTGTCCCGGGCTGAGCGTACATTAGGTGAAAAGGTACAGCTGACCACAGCATAATACCTAGGGGTTATATTATACTGCGCTATAAACTTCTTTTGGTCGATTTCACACACTTTTGGTCGGTTTACACACTTTGTCGCACTCACTGTTCACTGTTCGGAAGCTTATTGTCTAGGAAAAAAAACTATAACTAGCTTAATACTACTGACAAATGCTGATTTCGGAAAAAGTAGTTACCTAGCACTAACCTTCCGCGTTTACTGAATAATTTAATTTTCCTGGCTTGGAAAATTTAGAATTTCTTGGAGCAGAAACGTAAAACTTGTGTATGACACGTAAATTAACTTGTGTGTGCAACGTAAAATAACTGGCGTATTTTTCGCTGTTTCTTGGTGCAGAAACTTTTATAATTTTTGTTCACTGGCGCGTGAAAGAGACTAACTTGGACTATGTATTTTTAGTAGTTTCTTGGTGCAGAAACTTTTGTGTTCACTGGCGCGTGAAAGCTTTGAAAATCGTAACAGGGTACGATCGCGGGCGTTGGCGGTACTACCCCTTGTCGGTGAGAGACTGAGTAAGACTCTTTATTTTTACACCCGCAAAATGGTCAGTTGTCCCGGATGGTACGTGATGTACGTGACCATTTTGCAGCCACATTTTCTTCTGGGAATCATACTTTCGTCGTGACTTTCTCTTCGTATTTTAGGGTGTTATTTAGATTTTATTGGCGGGAATTTCCCAAGGAGTATATGTTTGTAGCTTGCTTTGTTTGCAACAGAATTGAAAAGCCTTTTCACTAGTGAAATAAAAAAGTGGGTTTCTATTTGAAAAAAAAATTATTTATGATAATTTTTTAATTGCCCAATTCATTGACAGCTGCGGCCATTATTATTCGAACAATTTAATTTTTGAAATAGATAACTACATGTCTTCTCTTTATGGCACAGTGGCTGTGGTAATCACTAAATTGGACGTTTAGGCTATACAATTTTTTTTAACAGGCAGTTTTTTCCGTCGAAAAATTTTAAATATTTTTTTATCTCAAAAACGATTAATGTTAGGTATACAGTGTTTAATATCAGAATTTATAACATTTTGCAGAGAATTTAAGTATGTAATAAAAATGGGGGTACCCATTTAAAATAAGAAAGTTGTTGTCAACTTCCGGTATTTCCGGAAGTGCCGCAATCCGCAATATTGAAAATATTTTAATAGATAGATCCCGTTGTGAAACAATGATGTGCAAAAAATCTCCGATCTAGATATTGTAGTTCTTTAGAAACTTCTAATGCACGCTCAGCCTGGGACACCCTGTATACCCTATTTTATATTCTATAAACTTGCCTACAACTCGTCTGATTTCCTTCTTGTAATCCTCAACCACGTTCCTGATGGCTCTGTTTTGGTATTCGATCGACCTAGAGCTATCCCTTATTTCGTTTCTTATAACGTTTATCTGCTCTTGCAGGCTCCTTTCTAGCATCTGTAGCCTGTTCTCTACGTTTCTTAAATCGCACGATGACGCCAGTGTTGTTTTTTCTCTCTCCAACGAATAACTCTGCGGGATTATATTGTCAATAATAAACAATCTTAATTAAATCATCGATGAATATCTTTAAGGCTAAATACAGGGTGACGCCTCTCTCATACGACGCGGAGGCTCCAAGGAGAACGGTAGTTTTTGGTTGCATGTGACAAAAATTAGCTAGTTAAAATCAAATGCTCAGAATGTTTCCTTTCTTGTTCACTGCATAAAATGCCATTAATCTAATAAAACTTAGCTTTATTTTTCTTCTAGAATTCGACAATCAATTAATATATAGGGCGTTCCGTTACAAAAAACACGACTTTGATATGTAACTTTTTTGGGGACACCCTGTAGGACTCTGTATATTTTTAAAAAGTGCTCTGAATTAATCTACATATGCCCACAAAATTTCATTTCAATTCAAACTGTCGTTCTCCTTGGAGCCTCCGCGTCGTATGAGAGGCGCCATCCTGTATGTATCGTGACTATACGTTATGCTAAAGAGGCTTTATTAATGCCGATTGAAGAATTTCTGTTTGTTTTGTTGAGTGTCTCGTTGAAATAAAATAATACTGCATGATCTAATATGAACCTTCCTCAAAGTAGGCGTAGAAATATAATTTTCAATTCAAATTTTAATATTATATCCATATCTGTCAATCAATATCTTATTTGTTGCAAAAAAAGGCTTGAACTGTCTGACGAATTGAACAGCTCATTTACAAAGTATTTTTCAACATAACTTCTATTGAAAACATGAATTAAGCATGGAATACAAATTCTATAACAAGAATATTGGAAAACAGGGTCCGGCAATAGTGCGTCGGGCATCTGTAGCCCCTAGAATAAAAAACTTGGGACCTCTGTTTAAGTCCAAATCTTAAAATTATGTACTAGGATGTATTTCAAGAAAATATTTTAACTTCTGAAACTATTGAAATATATTGATTCATATCTTATAGTCTAAGGGCTGGCTACATAAAAAACCTTATCGTCGTTACATGGCTAATTTTTTGTGTGAAGTATCCTTTTGTGTAGCCATTATGAAATAGTCATGTCTGCCAGCGCGATCGCCGGGCTTAAAGCGGGGGCGGCCAATCGAAAGGGTGAAATTTTGACACTAAAAATATTATAAGATACATGAGTTATAATTGCGAAAATAGCTTTTATTTATTATTAAGAAACGTGGAAAATTGTTGCCAGACTTGGTTTAGTTATTTGGCGGGTTCGTTAGCGTGGTTATTTGGAGAGTGTTAATTCATTGATTAGTTGGTTATTTGGTGGGGTTGGTTGATTTTTACTAATTTATATTGGTTTTTTATATTTTTTATCAGTGGCGTTGGTTAAGTTGGTTATTTGGTGGGGTGGATAGCGTTGGTTAGTCCTTATAAAATTCCTATATTTCATAAAGCCGTCAAGTGCGTCCATATATATGTGCGTCACATCAACGACGTCATACCTATTAACGGCATTTTAGTAAGCTACCGTTTAACGGCAGTTTAAGTACAGCCTTTTAAAAATTTGTGTATTCCTTTTCATAAGTTATTCCGGATTTAAATGGAAGATATAGTATATAGTTTGGATATGGCGTTTGTCGTCTCAGCCTGAATATCTGTTGGTAATTTACTTATTTCGTTTTGAGCCATTTCTGGCCCCAATTCAACCAGCAATATTGTTTTATACACGAAGATAAAATTGCATTATCGTCTTTTCGGTCAACGATAAAATACCATTTTATCGTCTTGTATAAAAAATAACTATGTATTTTTTTTTCTCTAAAATGATATTGAAATTTGGAATAGTATAAACGCGGATTGACCATTTTAGAACACAACCAAAAACTTTTATAAAAAATGTATTTTTCTTAGAAAGTTAATACCTACTTAATAAAAAGTGTTTTTCTCTTCAAAAGAGAACCCGGTAACATACAGTAGAGAAACAAAAATTACGTATAAAAGTTACTCACCTCGCGAACGCCAAACAAACATAGAAAAACGCTAAAAATAACCGGCTTGGGCAGGAGTAGCATTGTTGACTCGGGTACCGCCAAGAATTCGCGTACGACTGAAAGAACGAAGTCTCAAGCCAAGTGCTCAATCATACGCTTAATGAGACTACTTTGTACTCGAATTGTTAATGAAAATGTGGCCCACAAAAATAGATTTTTAGAGATATGATATTTCACCCGTAATATACCGGTTCTCGATAACCAACCGCATTACGGATTAGTCATTTTGAATGGCAAATCCTAACCATGGGGGGATCGAGGGCGCATCGCTATAGCTTTATACAGGGTGGCGCACCTCATTCGCCTCGGATGATTATACGAAAACGGAAAGATGTAGAAGCAAAATATTTTATGGGTATATGTGGGAAGGCAATGTGCATAATTTAAAATTATTTTCAAATGTTCAGGGTGTCAGAACTAAGATCTATACCAAAGTTATACTTTTTCTTATGGAACACCCTGTATTTTATTTCATTTTTGGATTCTTTGGCATAAAATAAGGCATTTATTATAAAGGTTAAATATGTTTAAAACCTCTACTTTTTGAGATATTTAAAGATGTTCAAATATGAATGCTATAATAAAAAAGTTCGTCAACACCTTGTACATTATTTTTTAGAATTAATTCTTGTGCTAACTTTCAAGCCAGAGAAATAAACTTTACTAAAAAATTTGATTGCTTCCTTAAATGTATACAGGGGTATCAAAAATTGCTGGTCTATTTTAAATATTGCAACACTATGTATTTTTTTCCAAGCATATCTAGATGCGTTATTTCAAGTCGAAGCATATTTAAATGCTCTTTTCAAATTTTTCAAACTATATTAGGGTTTCCTATACCTATCTGGCTCAGATTTTGAATAAAAAACGATTTTTCAAAAAAATTGTGATCAAGATGGCTGGTGCTGGTGTCGCCAAGGCAATTTTTTAGTGACACTTATATTAGCTATTTTCAAAATCGACATTAGTTTATGGACTTTATTTAAATTTATAACAGGTTATTTCAAAAATAGCTAATAGGTGTCACTAGCAAATTGCCATGGCGACCCCAGTCATCTTGATTGCCATTTTATTGAAAAATCGCCTTTTATTCAAAATCAGAGTTGTTAAACTACACGTAGTAATTAATAAACTACATTTACTACATGTCACAAGTAGTTTATTAAATGTCGAGTAGTAAATGTGTAGTTTATGTAACTAATGTAGTTTTTTTAAATAACAGTGAAAACATAACCTAAAAACTTTGTTGATCAATTTAAAGAAATAAAAAATCTATATTTTGTGAATTTCTTCCTTATTATGTGATATTTTTGATACTTACTAGTTAAAAATGGTTGGAAGACGTCGATGTCTCCATACCTTGCTCCATACCTTCTGGGAAGAGGGGATTTATGAAGTTGTGCCTTTAGATGTAAAAAATCATATATTCTCCTGGAGAATGTCTATGGAGAATTTCTCCATAAGAAGTTATAGTTTATTTTGTGTTCAATGTTACTTTGTATTTCGTAGAAAATACACTTTTGTTGAAAAAAATTGTCTTTTTTTCTTATGTTATTTAACTTATACAAATATAATATAACTTCATACTTCCATGATAAGAATTTGGCTTGATTTTTGTTTAAAGTCTAAATTGTTTATGTTTTACTATATTTTTGTAGGTAGTTTTTGTGTAGTTTTTGAAGGTAGTTTTTAAAATTTTAAAACGTAGTTAATACAAAAAACTACGCGTAATTTTTGGCGTAGTTTTTTGCTTCATAAACTACTTAACAACCCTGTTCAAAATCTGAGCCAGATAGGTATCTTCTTCTTCTAGTGCGAATCCATTAATGGATGTTTGCGATAACATTTTCCATCGCTTCTCTATTAGCTTCTTCTAGTCCTGTATACATTTAAGAAAGCAATATTTTTTTTAGTAAAGTTTATTTCTCTGGCTTCCAAGTCAGCACAAGAATTAACTCTGAAAAGTAATGTACAGGATGTTAACAAACTTTTTTATTATAGCATGCATTTAAATATTTTTAAATACTATCTCAAAAACCAAATCATTTAAACATATTAAACCTTTATAATAAATGCCTTATTTTATGCCCAAGAATCCAAAAATGAAATAAAATACCGGGTATTCCATAATAAAAAATATAACTTTGGTATGGATCTTAGTTCTGACACACCCTGTATATTTGAAAATAATTTTAAATTATGCACATTGTCTCTCTACATATACCCATAAGAAAACTTGTTTCTACATCTTTCCCTTTTCGTATAGTCAACCGAGGCGAATATGGTGCGCCACCCTGTATTATCAAGAAATTATGGTTTTTAATTAAAAACTGAAAGAAAATTCCAAAATTTTTCAAAAAATTTGAAATTTTTATTTTTTTTTCGTGAAATAAACCTCATAGATGTGTTTCTGGGGTCGAAATATACTACCCCTAAAAATATTCGCACTTAGTTAAGACTCACCCTGTATATGTATCACAGAAATTACCTGGATTTAAATCGCTTTTTTTGGAATTTAGAAATCTCTACAATTCGTTTATTTTTTTGGTTTATTTTCCCTTCTACTTTTCAATTCCTATAAATAACCATATTAGAATTTAGAATGATTAATTTATACATTAAAAAAACTACCCATTATTAGATCATTGATAACGGTTATCATACATCGATTATACATAAATCTCAGTATTCTATAAAATTTCCATGTCTTTACATTGTGACTCAAATATATTTTTTACTCTAAAATCTATGTCTTATTTATTCCTTCTGTGGATTTTCCGTAAGATAACCATTCCAAAAATACCATAATGTCATGTCAGTGTCTAATCACTCAGTCTCTACTGAGTGATTTAATTTTCGGGGAATATAGGTATACAGGGTTGTTTACCACATACGACACGGAGTATTGTAACTAAACGATTAGATTTTTACAAATTATAAGTTTTGGGTTCATTGAACGACTATTAGAGCTACAATTTAAAAATATTTTACAAGATACAGAGTGTCCCAAATAAGTAAAAAATATTATAGTTGTATTTTTTTAAATGGAACACCCTGTATATTATTCTATTTTTGGATTCTACGTTTGAAATAAAGGTAAATTTGATTAAGGTTTATCACACTTAAACCTTACCGTTTATGAAATATTTTCAATTTTATGAAATTGCAGTAAAATTTTTAAGGCTTCATTTCTCCAAGGGTATCAAAGTTTTTAATACTAAATATTTACTGAAGATTATTTATTGATCAGATATTGTGTTGCAATAATAAAACTTTTACTACCTTATACAGAGTGTCCAAAAATTCATATTAAATAATTACTAGCTTTCAACGGCAATAACTTCTTTAATTTATATATATTTTAAGTGAATCAGATGCACAATGAAATTGTCTATCAAATTGTATTATACCATTTTTTACCCATCTCTTCAAGTTTTCATAGAAAACGATTTTTTTTATAATTTAGACCTCATTAATCACTATGCCCATGGAATATTGACATTTTAGCTTATTTTTAAAGATGTAACAAATTTTCAAAGGGTACAGATACTAAAATTGTCGATATAGTGGCTTATTTAATTAAAAAATTAAAAATACCGTTTAAATATTTTTTTGTTAAAGAGGACCAATTAATATGATCCCAATATTCAAACTACATTAATTGACTGTTTACGTTGATTAATAATAATTGCTCCAAATACTAAAAAACTGTATTTTGTGTGTGTATTAGACAGCGTGGTAAAAAGTAACACCTTATAAATTTTATTTCATTTTTTGACGAATGCTTATTTATAAAAACAGAGACGTTCATTTTCATAACTTATTTTTATATTGATTTCGGGGCCAAATCCACATTTATTTAGAATACTTTATTAATTAAAACAATTTAAAAGTATGTAATTAACTAATTTTTGGTGTTTTTGGTCGGAAATAATGGTGGTATAATTAATTGGTATACTCTTTTACAAAGATTTAAATAGTTTTTTTGTATGCCAATGAACTTGCAATATTTACCACCTGTACATTTTGTACATATATGGTGCTATAAAAAATCTGAAATGTCAATATTCCATGGGTATATTGATAAATGAGGTCTAAATTATAAGAAAATGTATTTTCTATGAAAACTTGAAGAGATAGGTAAAAATGGTATAATACAATTTGATAGACAATTAAATTGTGCATCTGTTTCAGGTAAAATATATAGGGTGTTCTATTTAAATTAACCAAGTTATTGCCGTTTAAAGCTAGTAATTATTTAGTATAAATTTTTGGACACTCTGTATAAGACAGTAAAATTTTTATTATTGCAACACAATATCTAATCAATGAATAATTTTCAGTAAATATTTAGCATTAAAAACTTTGATACCCTTGGAGAAATGAAGCATTAAAATGTTTACTGGAATTTCATAAAATTGAAAATATTTCAAAAACGGTAAGGTTTAAGTGTGATAAACCTTAATCAAATTTACCTTTATTTCGATCGTAGTATCCCAAAATAGAATAATATACAGGGTGTTCCATTTAAAAAAATACAACTATAATATTTTTTACTTATTTGGGACACTCTGTATCTTGTAAAAATATTTTTAAATTGTACCGTAAAATGGGGTGAATAGAAACATAGTGGTGAATAGAAACAAAATTTCTGAAAAAAATCAAATCACGATTAAAAATATTCAAAGTAAAAAGAGTCGACATATCTAATTTTTCTATCATTGGTAATACCAAAGGTAATACACAATAAAATGTAAAAACTATATTTTTATCTGTGGCAGCACTGTTTCTGTCAATCAGCTGATCAATAAATCTGAGATCGATTTATCACCTATTTTCGTTAGTATATTCTGTCACCTATTTTGTCAACTTTATCAATAAAATATTTATTTTTAAAGTAATACATAAGCTGGTAAGTTGTCATATTATATGTATTGTTAATTATTCTTAAACCTACTTAAATATGTAATAATTTACTGTTTCTATCACCTTGTTGGAAGTAGAATAGATAAAAACATTAATAAAAAAAAAACATAAACATTAACATCAATGTGTGTTTCTATTCTCCCGAATAGCAGGTGAATAGAAACACAAATGTTATTTTTATTTAATATTTATATGCATATTTTTCAAAAATCAAATTATATGTATACGCAAAGAACAAACAAAGACCCATGTTTTAAAATATTCGGGAAAATAATACCACATTTTTATCAACCGGTATATCGCTAATAGTCTACGAAACTGTTTCTATTCACCCCATTTTACGGTAGCTCTAATAGTCCTTCAATGAACCTAAAACTTACAATTTGTAAAAATCTAATCGTTTAGCTACAATACTCCGTGTCGTAGGTATGTGGTGAACAACCCTGTATAAAACTAGTTTTAAAAATTATCCTCTAATCTGTCGTTTTTTATTTAATTAACCCTGTAGTTAGTTAACTCTGTAATGAAACAAAAATAAATTTCAAAACTAAACCAATGAAACAAATTTAAGTTTTAATAATAGAATGCAGACCGTAATATAAGAAGTTTATTTGTCTAAAATATTTCGCTAAATAGATACACCATATGGTAGTTTTATTAAGCAAAAACGGCTTGTCATAGTTTTATGAAACTGAACGATATGAAATATTAATTAATGGTAATTCTGGAGCTCATGAGACATGTTTAACATTTGCCCCTGCAATATAAAATGAAAAATTCATTGAATAAAGAGTATTTTATTCAATGGGAAGTAATAAAGGATAAATAAATATAATTTTTATAATTCTTGAAGAAAAAAAAACTCGGGCTCAGCCGGGATTTGAACCCGGGACCTCTCGCACCCAAAGCGAGAATCATACCCCTAGACCACTGAGCCTCAGTACGTAGGTGTCTTCTAAACTGTATTATTAACCAAACATGATTCATATATATTAAAGAAAACCGTAAAATTATTATATCAAATTTTTGATTTTTTTTGAGAACCGCATACTTCAAGTTCACACCTCTGTTCACACACAGACACAGCACAGAGACACAGTTATCTTGCAATACAATTTTAAAAAATAATTAAACCACAGAAGATAAACTAAAAAGATGCATTTCATATTTTTACCATAAGATGGCATTTCAGTTGAAAAAAATGAGACAAAGGCTGTGGACAAAGGTAAACACGAGAAACTTTTGCAGCCTTGTGTGTAAAATAACGAAATACGAAATAATTTAAGCTAAGATAGTTTTACCCAACAATGCCTATAGTTATTAAGCCGTAAGTACCATATTATTGCAATACATATAACAGTATTTTAAACTTGAAACCTTTCAAACAACTTGGAAGAATATTTGGCGCCAAAATTGTTTTTGTTTGGGACTGTCACTGTCAAACCACGGCATGTCAAGTCAAACTCAAATATAACATAACCTCAAATAAACTTTAGGAACAAAATATTTTGCAATCGTTTGTAATTTTTTAATAACCGTTTTGTTATAAAGGAAATAAAAAATTTAGAATTTGTGTGTGAATTTACTGTGAACAGTGTCGATGGGCCCCCCAAAAAGGTCCGGATTTAAAAGTGAAAAGGCATCGAAAAAACGTAAAAAAGAGGAGGAAGATGCCTGGATACCAGAGGAAGACGATACCACAGGTACGTATAAATATGAAATACCTAAATATAAATAAACAATAGTACCCCACATTCCACTTTGTACACACTTTGTACACAAACTATTGAACTAATAATGGTATATTTTAACTCTATGTATATCTGTTCGTTCAAGGAGAGGGAGAAGAAGCATCTGTACCAGGAGCAGCAGCACGAGATGCTGAAAAATCTGATGAAAAAGCACAAGAAGATGAATTCGGTGCGAAAGATTACAGATCTCAAATGGTCCTAAAGCCTGACAATACATCCAGGCCTTTATGGGTAGCTCCAAATGGACACATTTTTCTCGAGTCTTTCTCTCCAGTTTATAAACATGCCCACGATTTTTTAATTGGTAATTATTTATTTTCAAGTACATTTTCAAAGTTAGTTTGTGTTTAAATTAGTTAGTCGACTCATACGATTCGGAGGCTCCAAAGAGAATGACAGTTTGTATTGAAATGGAATTTTGGGAGTACACCTATGTAAGGTGTATATATGAGTTCTGCAAGGTGTCCCCAAAAAAGTTTCACATGAAAGTTGTGTTTCTTGTAATTGAACACCCTATATATTAGTTGATTTTCACATTCTAGGAAAGAAATAAAGGTGGGTTTCATTAGAGAAGCATATGTCTAAAATGTAAGGTTTTTGACATAATTAACAATTTCTAAAAATGAACAAGAAATTTTAAATTTCAATAAAAGCTACCTAAATTGGAATTGTAGGCTAATATGTAGTTAAACTAACCATTGTACTGTACATTATAAATATATACATAACATAATTTACATTGTAAATCAAATTATAACTTGACTCCAAAAAGTTATACAGAGTGCGCAAAAATTAATATTAGACATTGGTCACTTTTGTGTGTGCAATTTATTTTTTTTATTTTAAATGGAACACCCGTTGTATTATTCCTATATTCAATGAAGAATTCATGTCTCTTTAATTAAATACTATTAATGTTGCCTACCTTTCCGACATAGGTTTTCTTAAATATTTTCGTTTTTATTATTTAGTGGCAATAGATCTTTATTACTTGATAAAATCTAGATAGTTGTAAATTTATCAACATTATGTTATTAAACTGTCATTCTCATATTAATGTTGCCTACCTTTCCGACATAGGTTTTCTTAAATATTTTCGTTTTTATTATTTAGTGGCAATAGATCTTTATTACTTGATAAAATCTAGATAGTTGTAAATTTATCAACATTATGTTATTAAACTGTCATTCTCCTTGGAGCTTCCGCGTCAAATGAGATTCGCCACCCTGTATATTATATTTTTTGATTTTCTGATTAAAAATATCTTGCTAACCTCAAAAAATAGCCATTTCAGAACCCGTATCTCGGCCAGAACATATACATGAATACAAATTAACAGCATATTCCCTATATGCAGCTGTAAGTGTTGGTTTACAAACAAACGATATAATTGAATACTTAAAAAGATTGAGGTAATATATATTAAATGAGCTTAAATCAATTTTATCTACAAAACAAATAAATTTGTAGCAAAACTACTGTTCCCGATGGAATAATAGAGTTTATAAAACTCTGTACTCTATCGTATGGTAAAGTTAAGTTGGTTTTGAAGCACAATAAGTATTTTGTTGAAAGCCCCCATCCAGAAATACTTCAAAAACTGTTGAAGGATCCGGTTATACAAGAATGTCGATTAAGAAGAAATGTAGAGGAGGAAGGCGATGGATTTATTACACAAGTAACTATGATAAATATACAGGGTCCGGCAATAGTGCGTCGGGCATCTGTAGCTCCTAGAATAAAAACTTGGAATTTTCTTTAAGTGTAAACCTAAAGTGTGTACGAGGATGTATTTCAGGAAAATATTTTAACTTTATATGGTGGCTCAAAAAAACGTGAGTGGGTCGGGATGATTTTTTTAAATGTATATTCTTGCAGTTTCGGTTTCCTTTCTAATTACTTTACTTAATCCTAAGATAAATATATTTCGATAGTTTCAGAGATATTAATAAATAAATAAAAATATATATTTTTCAACCTTCCTAAAAAAATTATTACAAATCGCCAGTGAAACGTGATAACCTGCTAACTCCATTTTTTACGTTAATACGTTTTTTTATACTGTCAAGAAAAATGGCCAGAAATTAAAAATGTATTACTGGTTGCCTGCACAACCGCAACGTATCCGCCAGAAATTAAAAGACTTTTTCGGGCGCCATCTTTTGGTCAAGTCGAGAAGTAAGGGAATCAGACAATAGAATTGTCTGGTATGACACTTAAAATGATTCTGGAACAATTCATTTTTAAATCCACTGTATATCGAAAACGGTAAGAGCAAAGTATACTAAACTATATATTTTTGAAATTAGCTAAAATATGTCTACCGGACCATGTTAAAATATGTGGGGGTTTCTATTTAAAAAAATCAAGATGGCGTCGTATCTGTCAAAATTGACGTTTTAAAAATTTTGGTGTAGAGAATCGGCATCCTCGCGAAAAATTACATTAGAAAATCTTTCTACTATCTTTAAATACCAAACAGGAAAATTATAAACCGAGTGAGACACTTTAAAATGATGTCCCTGTACATATTTTTTTGTACCGTTTTTTCAAAATATGTCTACCCGGACCATGCTAAAATATGATAGGATTTCTATTTAAAAAAAATCAAGATGGCGTCGTATCTGTCAAAATTGACGTTTTAAAAAATTTTGGTGTAGAGAATCGGCATCCTCGCGAAAAATTACATTAGAAAATCTTTCTACTATCTTTAAATACCAAACAGGAAAATTATAAACCGAGTGAGACACTTAAAATGATGTCCCTGTACATATTTTTTTGTACCGTTTTTTCAAAACTATATTAGGTATTTACTTTAGATGGTCTATACATAACTTTGCTAAAAATATCCTAATTTTAAATCCTACAGGATGTTCAATTCTACCCCACTCTTAATAAAATATAAAATATTTTTTCTTTCTTTTTTTAAATGGAATTTAAAGTATTTCAAAAATGTTAATGGGTTTGCAGATACACGCAGTATTATTTCATATGACTCTTTCAACGGTAAAAAGAATGTTCATTTTTTAATTCTCCATCTATTGAAAAAATATATACAGGGTATTCTATTAAAAAAAAACGAAAAAATATTATTTTGTATTTTAGAAAGTTTGGCGTAGAATTTTGAACGTCCTGTATAATTTATGATTACCATATCTATAGCAAAGTAAGTACAGACCATTTAAAGTAAATACCTGAAATAGTTTTGATTTCAGGACAGTTCTTGTATAGTCTGTCCAACGAGAAGATCCTTGACAGTGATAGATGTGTCTGTCATTTTAATTTCAAAGTAGTTTATTTTATTTTACAAAGAAATAAGTTGGTACAACTGTACTTCAAATATTGTGAAAAAACTGTACAAAACTGAAAAAATGTAATCGAGTTATTTTATTTAATAAAAAACGGTATGTGTTAATACAAAACAAACAAGAACAAGACACCACATAAAACAAACAAGAACAAGACACCACATAAAAAAAAAAATATAAAAAGAACTATTTCTCACTTTCAAGCTTTATGAAGCTTCCCGCATTTATGATTATATTTATCAATATAACTTATGTACAAATACAAATTTGTAATATTCCGCAGGAATGAATAAAACAACATAAATAAAACAAACTATTTTATTATTAATAACACTTACTAAATTTTATGGGTACCTTAAAGGTTGATTAATTAACTTTAATCTTAATTTTTTAAACCAGTACCTTTGGCATTATTTTTCTTGTGCAGTACAAAAATCCATTATTTACGTATCGTGTGATGTCGATATTTTACAGCTACTCCAGTTTTTAGTATGTGTTTAGTATGGTCCTTCTACCATATTCGAGATGCACTTATCTACGACTAGATGGTATACGAACTTTAATGATGGTAACTTTATTGGTGTATAAGACTTTTTGCCTGGGCAGCGAGTATTAACCATAAATTGTGCTCTGGGTCTGGGTCTACAGTTAATTTTCACTCGATTTTTCCTTCACTTGACATCAAAAGACACAAAACACACGTCATAACACGAATCAAAATGCATCATCTTCCAAAACGCAGGGTATTTGACAAAACTGACAAAAGTTGACACAAAATTATAACCTCTAATTTGGCAAGACTTTGACAAGCGTCAAAACTAAAGGCGAGTTCATACGCATCGGCGTCCGTTTGTCGTTCATCGTTCCGTCAAACCAATAAAATTGAAATACGATCTGTCATTTTTGAAATAAACCAATAAAACTGGTTAAAAACAACAAGAGACGACGTATGACGGATTTATATTTAAACCCATCCATAGTTAACTTAAAAATTATTAGAAACTTTTTTTAGTAAAATAAATAGATTGGTATGGGACGTCATCTGCTTTTTTTCTGTCATCGTCTGTCGAAATCTTACCTGAGAAAAAAAACAGAGTATATTTTTAATAATTTTTTAGGAAAGGCTGAAAAAAATATACTTTTTATTTATTTATTAATATCTCTGAAACTGTCGAAATATACAGGGTGAGTTTCCTACGATGTTCTCGTTAGGTATCTCGGAAACTACTGGAGATAGAGAGTCGGTTAAATGGGGAAAGAATTGCAGTTTTGTGGGGTCATAAACATGCGCCTTTCAGATTTTTTAAAAAGTTCATGGCTTATAGTGTGACCAACGGATCTGTAGCTACGGGGTATCGGCAGGGGAACGCAGTTGTAAACAAAACACGCCCAATTTCATTCATAAAATAGGCATGGGCGTACGGTGTTATATGAAAATAATGTGTATCATAATTATAATACTCAGATTAATAATTTTTTTCAAAAAACTTTATGCTGTTTGAATCGTTACTGTTGAGTTAGCAGATAAACACTAAAAGCTTTTATTAAAGCTCCCTTAAATATTTTGAATCATTTTATTATTGTGTTGTTAATATAATAGAAGAAATAATTACAGCTGGGGATTGGAACCTTTGGTGTTACACAGCAAAATAAAACACTAAATCAGTACAATACACCAAAACACTTTTAATTTTACACTGGACGCACGTTTCGCTAACCATGTCTGCCATCAGCAGATGATCAAGACTGAGTCTTGAGGTATATTTATTTATATATCTGTACTAACTATATTTTTTTCTATAATACATAATTTTAGATATAACTATTTCCAGCAATAAAAAAATCTTGAAAATAGTTAACTTTGGAAGCGCAAACAACATAATTTTACTCACCAGTAGATCCAATATTGCCTATTACACCAGATATGGTATCGCTCCGCCAGCAGTTTTTAAAGGTTAGGTCATTGTCTACCCATATGTTTCATCCAAATAGATAATACTTGGCTACATTTTCGAATTTCGCGTATATATTTATATCTCTCTCTGCAATATAATGGGCCGCGCCGCTCCATTAATATTTATCTGTTATTTTGACATTTACGTCAAAAAAAATCATTTGATTTTAATCATTGCCTGGAAACTTATATGGTGAAATTTTGATAAAATAATTTAGTACACACTAAAAACACGGTATGTCGCTAGTGGTAGGAAAAATAATTTTTAGAGGTTACTAGTTTATTTGGTTGCCTGTGATATGCATGTCCAGGGTGTTTCCTAATTAATCTAAAAAATAAAAAATCGTTAGAAAACGAATTAAGGCGGGCTCTTAATAAGTATATTTAGTTTTTTCTCGACAACCGTTTGATGAACAAGAAAAACTCAAAATATCAATTTTGTTGAAAAAGGATGGCCAGTCAAGAAAAAAAATTATTTTCTTTAAAAAGCAGTGGTGTACCATTTATGCTAAGCAAAAATCGATTTTTAAAATTTTTAACACCCTGTAGATCAGAAAGGAAGTACTTTAGACCTAATGGTTATATAAAATTGTTTTAAGAACACATGAGGAATCACACCATAATTTTTTTAGACTAATTCGAAAACACCCTGTATATTGTCAACTTGACAATGACTGCTGATAAATCAAAAAATACCGTTTCAGTGAAAAAAGCCTGATTTTCGCAGGAAAAATTTTGGATTTTATTGAATTTGAGCCTGCGTTTGCAAATACTCGTTTGTTTTTTAATTTTCTATCTATCTAAATTTTAAATATCATAGTCAGAAATAGTTTTATTATTTATTAAATGTAAAAATGGTGTTTTCTTGTTGTGTTGCATCTTGCAAAGAAACTAACAAAACTGCAAAAATGTACGTGTTTCCAAAAGACGATAAGGTATGTATCTTAGATAAAAGAAAATATATGGTATGTATTCGTTGTTTGATTTTTTTTTTCGTTCGCTTTAAAATCTATAAATCTCGGTCTATTCATTAAACAGCCCCAGTCGACTTACGATCATTTACATGAAACTCTGTAAAATAAATAAAAAAATAAATTGTAAAATATATATATTCTTATGTTTTATTAAAGTTACTCTGATATACTAATATATCAGTGTAACTTTAAAAATAAATCCTTTGAATTCAAATATATACATAAAAAACATTTTCAGCAGAAAAGGCGAAGGCGCTGGGTTAAACGTAGTCTCTACTAAAAACACGGAGGGGCGCTTTGACCCAAAATTTTACTATTAAGTTTCATATCTATCTTAATAGTAGATTATTTTCTTTTATCTATGATTTTAATAACCCCCTAAGCGTTTCCCTGCAAAAGGAAAATTCGATTCTTCCTGCAATTTTTGCAAAAGCTTTCTAATTGCGGGGACGAGTTTGAATTCGAGATAAAATCTATTTATCAAATTCCTGACCGCTTCGAAAAAGTCGTCGAGCTTTTCGACAGCAGTCTCACGTGGTCGTTTCTTTCCAGAGCTGGATATCATTTTATCGGGGTTAGTTTTCAGCCTTTTTTTATCTTCTGTTGTAGGTTTGCACTTAAACAAAATTCCCAAGTTTTTTTTTTTATTCTAGGAGCTACAGATTCCCGACGCACTATTGCCGAGCCCTTTATACAATACAATGACTAAAGAGTACAAGGACCAATAACACCAGGATTACAGTTGGGGGTTGGGATCTTTGGTATTAGAACAGCAAAATAAAACACTAATTGACCACGATACACCACTACTTTACTTTTACGTACACAAACACTTTACTTTAGCACTGAACGCGCGTTTCGCTACCTTTACGCTTTTATTCTTGAAAACTGAATAAATCACCATTGTAGTAAAGTTTATGTAAAGTTCACTACCCACAACAAACTATTAAAAATCGCAAAAAGTATCCCTCTTGCATCTTCATTTGTTTGGCACCAAAAAAATGGCGTCATATAATTTAACATCACAGATTTTGCTCCAGTTCGTATATGCGCGTCCTTATATTCTTTAGTCATTGATACCATGATCCCATACAAGTAAATATATTGATTTTGCTGATTTATTTAGGTGCAAGATAAGAAAAATGTTCCAACCTTTGGCGGAAAGCCGGCATCTACTGAACAAAATAATGAAAGTATGTTTCACATTAATTTTTTTTGTTTATATTTCTAAACTTTATTCGTCGACACATATTGTAGGTAACACTGTTCCTGATGATATAACAAACTTTTATGAGAAAATGGACAATGAAGAAGATGAAGACGAGTCGGCTCTTCAAACCGTTTCTTTTGAAGTTAACCAAGAAAAAATCGAAGTCATTCAGAAACGTTGCATTGAACTCGAATATCCCTTATTAGCTGAATACGATTTTAGGTATATATCTAATTTTTACTAAAATACTTAATATTTATTGATATAGTCTATAAAATGAATAACTTTTAATTTTGACCGTTATTTTTTACCAACATGGCAAATATAAAATCCTTCTATCAAAAAAGTTACTGATATTCTTTAAACTGAGTGCCTGAACGAATCAGATAGGTAACTCTTTTTACTTTCGTGAAACAGAAAAGGAAAATAATAAAACAAGTGACAGTTCTTCCTCTTCTTGCAAAAATCAACACAAAATGTCATAATTGCCAAAAGTAAAATGTCATATCAGCTTTTGACATTTCTAAATATCAGACCAATGCCGTCTCTAATAGAACAACCTCGGGGCGAGATTGATGACGTCACGCTAGTTAGATACTACGGATTAATAAATATGTTGTAAAATACATGGAAAACATGTATTCATGATACATGTTCATTCATAAACATTGTATTTTAAAAATGATATAGTTTACATGAAATATACATAATATACAGTTAATAAATACAATACATATACCTATTTATAGTAATAAATACTTTGGCAAATAAACTATGAACCACACAAATGCAGCAAATGTTTTACAATATACAAATAATGAATAGGTACATCAGATAATGGATAAAATGTAAAATTTATTTTAAATTTTGGAGTTTGAAAATCGATCTAATTTAACAAAAAACATTCAATATCTACTAATAGTGATGTATTATTATTTGCATTCACAATATTTATATGTATATTTTGCAAGTATCAATGTTCGAAAAATTATATTTGCAAATAATAAAATATCATAGAAAAGAAGGGGTCAGCGATGGCTATGAAATAAAGATCGCTGTCATTTTATATGTAAAATTATTCTAAAATTTTTGACTTTCTTGGGATTTGGGTTCGTGAAAAACGCTGATTAAGTTTTCATTTGGTTTTTCATTATTTTTATTTGGTTTAAAAAAAAACGTTTCGGGTAACATTACAGCCTTCATCAGTGTTGTGTCATATGAAAAAAATAGTGTCGAATATAATCCAAAAAATTACATATAACGTATTCACACCACACACCACATAATGTTTACTACAATTAATAAACTAATATAAACTTGTCAAAAGATGACCACATATTTTTTAAATTATTATTCTTAACACTAAAACTATCTACATTGACTATGGAATGCGATTTCAGCCATAGTTAAGTGAGGCTGTACTATTAGAGACGGCATTGCGTCAGCAGGGCCGCAAGTTGCTAACCTAATAAAATTAACACTAGAAAAGCCCGCGGGAACTGTCAAATTCAAAGTTATTCGCTTCACAGACTATACCATCTTGTGTGTTATTATAGAAACGACACAGTAAACCCTGATATAAATATCGATCTGAGACCTTCGGCGGTTTTGCGACCTTATCAGGAGAAAAGTTTGAGGAAAATGTTTGGAAATGGAAGGGCCAGGTCTGGAGTGATAGTCTTACCATGTGGCGCAGGAAAATCTTTAGTATGTTGCGTAACTTCTCTATTTCATGTTACTCAATCATCTTTTACGTTAGGTCGGTGTAACAGCATGTTGTACGGTGAGGAAACGAGCCCTAGTGCTCTGTAATTCCGGCGTTTCTGTGGAACAGTGGAAACAACAGTTCAAAATGTGGTCCACTGCGGATGATAGTATGATTTGCCGGTTTACATCTGAAGCTAAAGACAAACCGATGGTAAAAATATTGAATAAAAATAACTAAGGAAGGAGTAAAATACTGTTTTTAGGGTTCCGTACCTCAAAAGAGAAAAAAACGGAACCCTTAAGGTTGATTCTCACTATATCTTCCGTTTCCATTCTATATCCGTTCCGTATTTTTTATTGTAATGACGCTATACGTAAGCTTCCGTTCCGTTTCAGTTCCATACTTTTTATTGTACTGGGTGTCCCACTAAGAATAGCTCTCGGCTGTATCTCGTAAAGTATTAGCCGTAGGGCCTACGGAAAAAAATATTTATAACTAAAGGGGCTATGAGAAATTGCTGGAAATTATTTCCAAGCTTGTAAAACGGCCGCTAGAGGGCGCAACTTCTATGGAAAATAAGAAAATAGAATTTTTACAGAATTTTGCCTAGATAATGACTACTATAAATAATAGCTTCGTAATCTTCAGTAAATTTTGGATTTTTTTCATTAGAACCATTTTCCCCTATCTGCTAAAATAAAGTGGTTGGATCTATCTTTATTTAAATGTTAATAACTCCGGACTGGATGATCAGAATCCAACAAACGAGGGCTCATTTAAAAGAGCGTTTCTTACTCTATATTATACCATAAAAATAATAATAATAAGGTTTGGAACGTAGAAGCTAGGGGGCGCTTTTTTACAATTTAACAAACATAGCGCGTTTTTTCAAAAAAATTAAATACGATAGTATATGTAATTTTAGCTGATTGTAAAGAGTAGTAAAATATTAAAAAGTCAGCGAAAACCGCATCTTGATATCTTCTTTCAAACCGAAGATATTAGCAAAATTATCATAAATACCAAAAAATAAGCCCTTAATTACCTTATTTTTGCAACACGGTATCAGTAACCCTCTTGATTATGCCCATTCTAACAAAAAAATAAGATAGAAGCAGTTAGTTTATTTTAAAATCAATGAAATTCCAGAATACCATAATACCAAATGTATTAATGTCTAATAATTCAAATATTAATAACTGTGAACAAGAAACGATTCAGTGAAGTCATCGTAGGCTTTGGAAAAAACTTGCTTTGACGTAATAGTATAAACGTCAAATTGTTATTAGATCAACATTTTGATAGTCTTTTTATCTTTTAATTGCAGCGTTTTTTATCTTTTAATTGCCTTTTCAAAATGCCTTTATTATTTGAAGTAGTTGAAATTGTTGGCATTTTGAAAAAGCAATTAAAAGATAAAAAACGCTGCTAAGACTATCAAAATGTTGATCTAATAACAATTTGACGTTTATACCATTACGCCAAAGCAACTTTTTTCCAAAGCCTACCATGACTTCACTGAATCATCGTTTATTGTTCACTGTTATTAACGAGGTTATTATCTTAATTATTAGACATTAATACATCTGGTGTTATGGTATTCTGGTATTTCGTCGATTTTAAAATAAACTAACTGTTTCTATCTTATTTTTTTGTTAGAATGGCCATAATCAAGAGGGCTACTGATATCGTGTTGTAAAAATAAGGTAATTAAGGGCTTATTTTTTGGTATTTATTATAATTTTGCTAATATCTTCGGTTTGAATTAAGATATCAAGATGCGGTTTTGCTGACATTTTAAGCTTTTACTACTCTTTACTATCAGGTAAAATTACATATACTATCGTATTGAATTTTTTTGATAAAACGCGCTATGTTTGTTAAATTGTAAGAAAGCGCCCCCTAGCGTCTACGTTCAAAACCTTATTATTATTATTTTTATGATATAATATAGAGTAAGAAACGCTCTTTTAAACGAGCCCTCGTTTGTTGGATTCTGATCATCCAGTCCGGAGTTATTAACATTGATACACGAGACGCGAGAGGAAAAGTGGTAACCATCATCTTTTCATGATATTTTGACGACGTTTCGTGCACTACGGAACCCTACGGATATTGGGTATGTAGGTAGATTGGACCAAGCCAACTCGACCCTATACGACACGTGTCACTGTGACAGTTGTTGATGTCGTCCGATTTGGCGACCAAATTTGGTGGGTAGGCTAGATGAGCGATGGTGCACACGGTCCCACCCTGCAAAGTTGGATACGACGTTTCGTTTACATCTTCATCGGATATTTCTTCAATATCATTTGATATTGAAGAAAAATGTGGGTTGATTATTGGGGACAGGATGACGCCCTCGACGTTTCGAACCGATGCACAGTGCTTCGGACATATGGCTCTAGAGGACAAAAATGCAAAACTTCTCTTTTATTGTAGGTAATTTATTCAAACTAGGTTTATTTGACACAAATGATGAGTACTCTCATTGTACTAAATGATGATGTTCTTAGTCCCACGTTTATGAAAAAAAATCTTATAAATAATAAAAATGTTGGAGCTGTGTTCCATCTAAGGAAATAATAATTTATAGTATGAAAACGGTGTAAGTATTAAATAAATCCCTGTGATAAAAAAGAATTGAAATAACTTTAGAACATGATTCCTACAATATAAGCCTAATATAAGATAAAAATGTTTTTCAGTAATGAAAAAGAAACATTAATGTTATATTTAATTAAAAAAAAACTTAAGATACTATAAATTTACTTTAGGACAACAAAATGCATAGTTCGTAACTACTCTGATTCAGAAGAATCATTGCTGACAGAATCTTCCAAATTTATAGTATCCAAATCACAGGTAGATGAAGTATCCTCACATATAAGATATTTCTGTACATTATTTTCTAATATGTTTACTTTTTCGCGTTGTTACTGTTCTTTTTTTTGGTATGAGGGGTTCGGATGTTAATAGTTACCTCTTTAATAGACCATATCCATATATTATTTTTTCCTTTTCTTGGGTATGAGGTTTTATAATAAATTGAAAGATGGGGAAACTTTTTTATGCGACGTTTCGCTCCAACATAGTGGGCTTTTTCAGGCACAAGTGGTGTCCCATTTGACTGGAAGGCATTAATATCTCATAAAGAACACATTTTTTGAAATACAAATAATTTTGAGTTCTTGTCCTTATGATCAAGCCAAGTATTAACCAAATCGGCATTGCTTATCAATTTTACTCCATCTGAAAAGTATTATAAAATAAAGTTCGTCGCAAGCAGACGCAGGTGAACTATACAAAAATTAAAAGTGTATGAATAACGCAACAAAAATATTCAATAAATACGATATGTTTTGATATGTTTTTTTTAAATGCCTTTTTGAAGTTTGAAAACGTAAAATTTTTATACCCATTTAAGAATCATTAAAAAAAATAAATAAAAACTAAACAATAACGAACTTGTTTAGAAATAAAGTTAAAGTACATACTTTGTTTAACAATATCCATAGTGGCTTTCAATTAAGTACGTACCGTTTAACTCCATATACAGAACTACTATGAATGTTATTCTTTTCCCTGATATAAGATAATGATCGCAAAATTTATTTTTAGTGAAAATATTTGCTAACAAAAAACGCTGTTTATGAAAAATAATATACAGGATGGTTGAACATTGCTATAAGTATAAAATTACATATTGAGATATTAGTAAATTTAACCTTTTTTTTCGATTTTTGTCCATGGGACGAAGCACTGTGCGATGCCTCTAAATGGACGAAATTATCAGGATTTTTCTTAATTATGAGTCGATTGGAACCAAACTCGGCACGTGGATAGAGGTAACCGAATGGAGTCCTTAAACGGACAAACAGACGGAAGTAAGAAGTTTCGCGTCAAATATGCGCACATTTTTTTTTCGAGATAAACAACAATTTCTGTTGTTGTATAACCAATGTATAAGAACGGGAGTTGTCTTTGTTGTGAATTGTTTTCAATACAATTTAGTACCCGTGGCACTTAACGCTTTATACTGGGTGGTCCGAACTCTATTCCGGAAACTTCGGCAGTATATTCTGCAGATAAAAATAAGTAAAAAAGTTCGTATAAATGTATGTCCTAAAATGCTTAGTTTCGGAGATACAGGGTGTAGAAGTTTCATTTTTATTTCGATTTTTTCAGTCAAATATTTGAATGAAAATTGGTGTCTGGAAGTTTTTTGACATGAGAAATTTGGATTTTGATGTCAATATCGCTCCTACTAGTAGAGGGCGCCACCTACATATTTTTTTACCGGTTTGAAGAGTAATAACTTTTTGTTCGTACCTGTATATAACTACTGAGTAAAAAAAATTATATTTACGACGTTTTTTACGTAAAAAGGGTCTCTTGGTAAAAATCGCTACGAGTAATGGTTTTCGAGATATTTGGAATCGAAATTATCAATACCTGTCATCGTTGACATTAACTAAACATATTGACTAAATAGTTATTAGACTGAAATCATAAATTTGAAATATTTTTGTGCCAAAAGTTCAACAGAAACTGTTTTATCATCATTTTTTGCAGAAAAATTTATGATTAATTTAAAAAAAATAAAAATTTCCTAAATTTATTATTTCATTGAAATAACTATCTACCCAAAGTGTTTATTTTTCGTCAATAATGACATGTATTGACTATTTCCATTCTAAATATCTTAAGAACGGTTGCTCGTAGCGATTTTTACAAAGAGATATTTTTTACGTAAAAAGTCACAGAGATGTATATTTTTTCACTCGGTAGTTTTATACAGGTACGGACAAAAAGTTATTACGCTTCAAAACAGTTAAAACACATGTAGGTGGCGCCCTCTACTAGTAGGAGTCATATTGAGATCAAAATCAAATTTCTCATGTCAAAAAACTCCCAGACACCAATTTTCATCCAAATATTGACGTTACTTCAGAAATTATTTAGAAAAAATTGAAATAAAAGTGAAACTTCTACACCCTGTATCTCTGAAATTAAGCATTTTAGGATCTACATTTATACGAACTTTTTTAGTTATTCTTATCCCGAAGTTTCCGGAATACAATTCGGACCACCCTGTATATGTTGTTGATTATGGAACTTAGGACATTTTGCAAATAAAACATGACAAACCGATTTTGGCACTTAGAACATTATTTACTTCAAGCCTTCAACTATTGAAGATCACTTTAGTTTTTAACAGATACGTCTATTATGTGAATCGAGTCAAATGAATTATAGCCTCTATCCTGACCGCCATATTAAGCTTTCAGACAGTGAAAACTGTCCCAAAATTATTTTATTAACTTTTCAGTACTGCTCTGACATTCAAACAAAAAAAAAATTTAAACACTAATTTTTTATCTGTGTATGTACTCCTTCCTTTGCGTTTTAAAACAGTTTGACTCCTAAAAAATAGTGAAAACATTATTTTAGGGTTGCTATATATTGGTTACTACATATTCAATGATAACTCATACTCAAAAACGTTCTTGGGAAGCAGAGCAAACCATGAAATGGTTACAGGACCAGGAATGGGGAATTATGGTTCTTGATGAAGTACGTTATTAATTAATATGTACAGAGTGTTCGCGTATTCGTTCACATTAATATAGGTTTTAGAAAAGTTATAATATTTTTTTAGGTTCACACTATCCCAGCGAAAATGTTTCGTAGAGTGCTTACTCTAGTCCAATCTCATTGTAAACTAGGTTTAACAGCCACGTTATTGCGTGAAGACGACAAAATTGCAGATTTAAATTTTCTGATAGGGCCAAAATTATACGAAGCCAATTGGTTAGAATTACAGAAGAAAGGTTTCATCGCCAGGTATGCATTTAAGCGTGTATTCCGTTGCTTACCTTGGTTATGGTTTTATGTTCCGTTTATATCGGTTTCCTGAAAGTTTTCTTATTACGGAACACGGTTCCTGAAAAATTCGGTTATAACTGTCACCAAACTAACCAACGCGAGAAGGCTGGTTTTCTGGTTTTGTTTGTCAATCAATGTCATTTATGTGACAGAAATCAAGCAAATATTGGAAGTTCAAGTGAAATTCTCTTTTAATTTCTAAAATTTGTAATAATATTTTGTATTTAGATCCAAAAGCATTGGAGGTAGGAAGTAAAGGTAAATAAATTTCATTAACTAAATAGAATGACTTTTTAGGACCATTTAAACTTATCATGCAGCCATTGTTTCTTAAAGTCAGGAACATTTAAAGAAAACATGAAAAACAAGACAACAAGTAGTCGTGAATGTTTTGTAAGCTATAAAAATATAAATATTGATTAGATTTATTTATTTATTATTAATCTGTTTTAATATTGGACCTGCAAATCTTCATTTGAGCTGTCTAACGAGTTTAACAGTTTATTAATAAAGTACTTTTCAATATTAAACTCCATTGAAAAGAAGAAGCAAACGTAAAAGCAGAGAATAGGTACAGTTCGTCTGCTGGATCTGTGTCTATGAAAGGAATGCGGACAAAAAACATTTAAATAAACAGCAATATATTTTATACGTCGACTTGATGAGTACGTCACCGCAAATCGCTCCGCCCACTCATTTTATTGGCTACTTGCAAATTTGTCGAATTTTTATTGATCGGACGCGTCGTCTAATTTTTTACGAAAAACATCGAGAGAATATCGTTTCCCCTCTCACGGATACCCGTAGCCACAGAACGGACAGACGTACTGTACCTCAAAAATGCATAAAAGATAAATTTTATAGTAGAGGTATTGAAACTTAGAAAACGTCAACATTTGACGTTTTCCAGTATTTTACCAAACCGTTCCGTATCAGACCGATGTTTTTCAGGAACCGCTCTTTACCGTAGTTTACCGGTGTGATTCGCCTGGTTTTGCAACGGAATACAGCCTAAATATTTATTCAGGTTAACCAACTGTCGAGTAATGGTAAAAATCTCCCCCGATCAAGCTATCAGTTTCATATTTTTACTGGAATTTATTTTTTCAAAATATTGGCGTAGAATTATCAAACTAAAGTTCCTAAATAATATACAGGGTTGTTCACCACATACGACACGGAATATTGTAGCTAAACGATTAGATTTTTGCAAATTGTAAGTTTTGAGTTTGTTGAAGGACTATTAGAGCTACAATTTAAAAATATTTTTACAAGATACGGAGTGTCCCAAATAAATAAAAAATATCAAAGTTGTATTTTTTTCAAATGGAACACCCTGTATATTATTACATTTTTAGTTTCTACGATTAAAATAAAGGTAAATTTAATTAAGGTTTATTGCACTTAAACCTTACCGTTTTTGAAATATTTACAACTTTGTGAACTTGCAGTATAAATTTTAAGGCTTCATTTCTCCGAGGGTATCAAAGTTTTTAATACTAAATATTTACTGAAGTATATTTATTGATCAGTTATTGTGTTGCAATAATAAAAATTTTACTACCTTATACAGAGTGTCTAAATGTTTATTTTAAATAATTATTATCTTTAAACGGCAATAACTTGTTTAATTTAAACGGAACACCCTGTATATTTTATAAGGATCAGATGCATAATTTAATTGACTATCAAATTGTATTATACCATTTTTTACCTATCTCTTCAAGTTTCCGTAGAAAATTCATTTTCTTGTAATTTAGAACTCATTTATCAATATACCCATGGAATATAGACATTTTAAATTATTTTTAAAGATGTACCAAATTTTTAAAGAGTACAGATACTAATATTGTCGATATAGTTCGTTTATTTCATTAAAAAATAAAAAACTTTAAATATTTGTTAAAGAGGACCAATTAATATGATTCCAGTATTCAAACTACATTAATTGACTGTTTGCGTTGATTAATAATAATTGCTTCAAATACTAAAAAACTGAATTATGTATGTGTATTAGACAGTGTTGTAAAAAAACTAACACCTTAAAAATGTTATTTCATTATTTGACAAATGCTTATTTATAACAACAGAGACTTTCATTTTCATAACTTATTATTATATTGATTTCTGATTCAAATCCACATTTATTTAGAATAATTTATTAACGAACACAATTAAGTATGTAATTAATTAGTATTTGGGCGGAAATACTGGTGGTATATTTAATTAAAGGTATACTCTTTTATAAAGATTTAAGTAGTTTTCTTTTTGCATACAAATGGGCTCGTAATATTATCGTTTTAACGATAAAATTACTAGCCTGTACATTTTGTACATTTGTTGTTTTAAAAACAATCTAAAATGTCAATATTCCATGTGTATATTGATAAATGAGGTTTAAATTATAAGAAAATGCATTTTCTATGAAAACTTGAAGGAATAGGTAAAACGTGGTATAATACAATTTGATAGACAATTAAATTGTGCATCAGATTCTCATAAAATATACAGGGTGTTCCATTTAGATTAAACAAGTTATTGCCGTTTAAAGCTAGTAATTATTTAAAATAAATTTTTAGACACTCTGTATAAGGTAATATAATTTTTATTAATGCAACACAATAACTGATCAATAAATAAACTTCAGTAAATATTTAGTATTAAAAACTTTGATACCCTCGGGGAAATGAAGCTTTAAAATTTATACTGCAATTTCACAAAATTGAAAATATTTCAAAATCGGTAAGGTTTAAGTCAGGGTTGGAAAAAATCATGATTTTTAAAAAAAAATCAAAAAAATCAGCTTTTTTTAATTTAAATCAGATTTTTTTTATTTAAATCAGATTTTTTTGATTTTAATAGAAAACATTGTTTAAATCGGATTTCCAAATAATTAGGACTTAATTCCAATTAAACCACTATCCTAAATGGCTAAATCTTCGTAATTCTGATGATAACATTAACAATTCTACGAGGCGTGTCATATTTCCACATCGGTCACCAATATATTCCGCAAAAAAGTCGCTCGCTTAAATCAAAAGGCTTTTTTGTCAAACGTCACAAAAGTATTATATTTTTGTCATTTTAACGCCTAGGTATAAAAGTAAAACGCTTTTATACCCAAGCACAAAAGTACAAAATATATTATTAAACTGATATTAAGTGTAAAATTGAACGAGTGTACAAATTGTTGCTCGATATAATTACTTACAAGGTATTACTTTTTATATTATTTTCAACATTTGAAATTGATAAAAAATTATTTGTAATGTTTGATGTAAATTATTATTTACAATAATTATTTTTCGATTTATTAAAAGTACGATATTAAAAATTATAATAGCAAGTGTAACATTTTATTTGATGATATAAGGTACACCTGTCTGCCATAGAAAGATTTTTATAGTTTTCTAGAACACGTTTTTATAACTTTTACAGTTGTTTTTCGATTTATTACAATGTTTTAAAAAAGATGATTTTTTTGATTTAAATCAGATGATTAAAATAAAATCACTTGATTTAAATCACGATTTAAATCATGATTTAAATCATGCCAACCCTGGTTTAAGTGTAATAAACCTTAATCAAATTTACCTTTATTTTAATCGTAGAAACTAAAAATGCAATAATATACAGGGTGTTCCACTTAAAAAAATTTTGATATTTTTTATTTATTACACTTTGATATTTTTTATTTATTTGGGACACTCTGTATCTTGTAAAAATATTTTTAAATTGTAGCTCTAATAGTCCTTCAACGAACTCAAAACTTACAATTTGTAAATATCTAATCGTTTAGCTACAATACTCCGTGTCGTATGTGGTGAACAACCCTGTAGAGTATCACGATTATTTTTTCCGCTACTTTTGGAGTCAAAATAGCCAGTAATATCAATTTTTCTGTCATATTTCCGGAAGCGACAAAGATAAGTTCAATTAGTAAAGGGATTAGATTGGGCTCAATAACAGGCAACTTTACCCCAGTTTACGCCACCCTATATCTCTTACCGTTCCTTAATTTGAAACAGCCTGTATTTCGGTATTTTTAGAGTAAAGATTTCATAATTAATCAAATGACTACTAGCACAGAATATCTAGCTACGCAACAGAAGCCTCGCCACACGTATAAAATCGTAGGTATCAAAAGGAGACAGGCTTTTAAAGCCTGTCTCCAAATCAGATATTTTGGTGTGGTAGTTTCGCTACTACATAATAGAGGGCGATAAATTTAAAAGAAAACAGTTTTCTACACACGAAATTTAAAACAATTTTATGCAGTGTTGCCATTGTGTAATTCATATTGTAATACTTCCTTATAAAGTCTAGCTTCAAATTTGCTACATCATTTAAACATATTAAAATAGATCAGAGCTCTTTTTTCAAACGTTTGGGTATTTAACTTGCCATGTTAGTTGGAGTTAAATCTTACGAGCTGAATTACAATCACTTTGTGACGTTTGATTGTAATTGAATTTCCTGGCGTTCGATTGGACTTATACTTGGTATAGTAAGTATCTTCGATGACATTGTAATATGATAGTACTATGATGCATATAAAGTGGTACCTTAATATAATACCATATTATGATACCGCTTCCTGACGATCGATTGGGCTCATATTTGATTATACTTGCGTATTGTTGATGACATTGCAATATTATGGTACCGTGAAGTACATCAAGAGGTGCCATAATGTAGTACCATATTATGATGCCATTTCCTGGCGTTCGATTAGTCTTAAACTTTGTATACTACGTGTTCGGCGACATTGTAATATGATGGTACTTTGGTGCATATAAAGTGGTACCTTCTATAGTACCAAATTATGATACCACTTCCTGACATACGATTGGGCTCATATTTGATAATACTTGAATATTTTTTATGACATTGCAATATTATGGTACCATGAAGCATATCAAGGGATACCATAATGTAGTACCATATTACGATACCATTTCCTGGCGTTCGATTGGGCTTAAACTTTGTATGCTACGAATGTTCGGTGACACTGTAATATGATGGTACTATAATGCATTTAAAGTGGTACCTTCTATAGTACCATATTATGATACCACTTCCTGACGTTCGATTGGGCTCATATTTGATTATACTTATGCGTATTTTTGATGACATTGCAATATTATGGTACCATGAAGCATATCAAGAGGTACCATAATGTAGTACCTACGTACTATTACGATACCATTTCCTGGCGTTCGATTGGACTTAAACTTGGTATACTACGTATCTTCGATGACATTGTAATATAATGGTACTATGATGCATATAAAGTGGTACCTACCTATAGTACCATATTACGATACCATTTCCTGGCGTTCGATTGTGCTTAAATTTGGTATACTACGGATCTTCGGTGACATTGCAATATTATAAAGCATATCGGGTGGTACAATAATATAGTACAATATATTGATATCATTCTTTATAAAGATTTGTTTAATTAATAATTTTAATTTATTTTACGATGCCGTGACAGCAATTTTTATGCCGAACTAATATATTATTAATTGTACCTGTGTCACTTTTTAAAATCTACCTAGGTCTATATAAGAAAGTGGCAAACACAAGAAATTTGTTATTATAGTATTTTTTTAGTCAATTACCTACTTAACATTTTTTATACTGCATTTTAATAAATTATTTCCATTATTATTAAACGTATATATTTCATTACTAACGTTTCAGCATTAATAAATATCACTATCAATCGCCCTTATCCGAGCTTCAAGGCCGTCGACGTGCCGTCGATCCAAAACCGAAAATTGAAAATTTCCAATTATATTCTGATTATGATATTGTCGCGCCATCTAGTATTTTATTTGTGCAATTTTAGCTCTTTCATTTTGAGTATTTTTCTGTTGCGTAGCTAGATATTCTGTGCTATTAGTATTGTCTAAATATTTTGTAGAAAAATTCAAACCAAACCTAATATGGAGTTTTTTCTGTAAAGTTGGTCATTCTGTTAAAAAGTAGATCTTTAATATCTTTTTAGAGTGCAATGTGCGGAAGTGTGGTGCCCAATGACACCGGAATTTTACAGAGAGTATCTGATGTGTAAGACAAGCAAAAGATTGTTGCTTTACGTAATGAATCCGAACAAATTTCTGGCCACTCAATATTTAATCAGGTATCACTATATATTTTGACCTTTAGTGTCCACAAGAAGTCTGTGTGAAGTGGTATTTCTTTAATATTAGTACAGGGTGTCCCATTTTCGTGTATTTTATAGGGTTTCTCGTTTATGAGTAGAGATGCAGTTTTCACATCACGGCTGCAAAAATATATGCGCCTAAAATTATAAATTGAAAGACACAATGCCTACATGAATTTAATAAAGACGCAACTCACTCAGTTAATAATTTCAGAACGTACTTAAAATTTTCTGTCATCCTATCCATCAATGACCAGATTTTTTGAAACACCCTGTATACATTTTTAAAAAATCTTAAAATATGTAAAAAAAGCAAAGTAAAATATACGTGTTTAAGCGTTTTTTCGGAAACTTGGCCGTTTTTTAAATAAAAACTATTGTAATATTTGAGGGGTGGTTTCACCCCCTTGGAACTGGAATTTCGAAAAATCCCTTCTTATCGAATCAACCTGTATGCCAAAATTGAGCTTCTTACGTTGAGTGGTTTGAGCAGGATCATGATTAATCAGTGAGTCAGTCACTTAAGGATTTTATATATTAGTATAGACGAGGCCTACGTGAATTTTATGGCCGCAATATTGGAAAATGTGACGTCACAAGATTAGGATCCTATTCGATTCGGATCCCGCCAGATAAGTATTATTTTAGTAACAAATAAAGTACAACTGGAGCTTTCTATAAAAATAATTTATTGAAAAAATAAATTAGAAATACACAAAAATTGTATGCAAATGGTTAAAGGTTAGAAAAACATTTTTATTACATTAGTACTATAAATTTATACCTAATCTAATGATTTGGTTTTTTTATTATTTTGAAATGTGAGTAATTTTCGTTTTTTCTAGAAGAAACTTCTGTCATGTTTGATACAGATGTTTGATCAGAACGATTTTTAGTATAAGAACAGGAAAAATATTACTCAAGACATGAGCAATTTTTATAATAATGTTTTTAAAAGGCTTGTTACATGCATTACAGATCTCTGGATAATTTTCCATGAAATCTTCCACTTTGACTAAAGCCAACTTTTTAAGAATTTTTTGCTGGGAAAATGAAGTTAAAAATTCATGCTCATAGTCTGATGATATGAGCATACAAAATATTTTAAATATGTCAATAACAAACTGAAATACTATTTCTGATGGTGTTTTCAATGCACCTCGGGTAATATTGAGTAAGTATTCACTAACATTTGATACTTTGTCTTCAAAGTGGACAGTAAATTCTTCGTTTGAAGTTATAACAGTTTTGCATATTTCACATCCACTAGTGTATTTTATTACTGAATGAGAGCAATATCCTGCTATCAATAATAACGAAGCATATTGTTCACTATTTATTTCTACATTTTCTGAAGAAGCAATTCTAAAGAACTTAAAAGAACTTTGAAAAAATCTCTCATATTTATGAGAGAAAGTGGTTTGTATTGTATGAAAAACAGGTATGAAACAACTACATACCACAATTTGTAGAGGTTAAGTTTGAAACCTCATCTGATGTAAAAACCACAGATATTCTAAAAAATGTCACAGTTTTTGCTAGCTACACTCAAGGCACAGCACTATTTTCACACCACTAATAATATGAACGCTGATTTCAACTAGAAAATATATTTTTTTCGATCAAAATAGGACATAAACCCGGCACAAACACGGCATTTACATACTAATTTATGTAAACTCAACAGCTGATCGCCCAGATTGTGACGTCACAGGCGCGCTGCGAGGGGTATCTTGCGGCCATATAATTCACGTAGGCCTCGGTATAGATTACAGCTATAGTAAAATGAATAACTAATTGTGAAAAATAAAGTTCCAACCCTAGAGCCAACATTTTTCGTAAACGGCTACTTGTGCGGTTTGAAATTTTGACGCAAAATCCGGCAATACCGCATAGAAGAAATGTACCAACCCAACTTTTACATCTTTTTAATACATTTGATTTTACATTACACGGTCTACATCACTGTTTTACACGTTAACAATCCACGCTTTTTTGATGACCCGATCGGTATACCTACTGCTTTACCTAATTTCACCCCTGTCACCCTAATAAGTAAAAAATCCCATTTGACGTACACTTTTTGAGGACACTGTAAACATTTGAATATATTGTTTAATCGATATATGATACGTGAATAAAAAATTGCTATTCCTAGGTATCACGAAAGACGAGGCGACAAAACCATCGTCTTTTCCGACAACGTGTTCGCTCTGAAACACTATGCCATCAAAATGAACAAGCCGTACATTTACGGCCCCACGAGCCAGAGCGAACGTATCCAGATATTGCAGAACTTCAAGTTCAATCCGAAGGTGAACACGATCTTCGTGTCCAAGGTGGCGGACACCTCCTTCGATCTGCCCGAGGCGAACGTGCTGATCCAAATTTCGTCGCACGGTGGCTCCAGACGCCAGGAGGCGCAACGTCTGGGCCGGATATTGAGGGCGAAAAAGGGCGCCATAGCCGAAGAGTACAACGCTTTCTTCTACACTCTGGTGTCGCAGGTAGAGTATTTTCATAGCTATTGACAGTAGAAATGCCCTCCAGACTTGGTACGTTCTCCGCCGGTGCTGCCACCATCGGAGAATACCGTAAACAGCCAACTATTGTAATCGCAAAACATTTTCCGATGCACGTCATCAATCGTATCGACATTGACACTAAAGTCTATAACCCTGACTAAATGAAATTTTGGCAAAAATGTTTAAATTTGTTGTATAATTTAAGATACCGAGCAGCTCTTCATTTTACTTTATAAAGCAAATGATTGTAACAGATATTTTATTTAGATTAAAGCTGGAAAAATTAGTTTAAACCTTAGATCTTATAAACTTCGTGGATAAAGCTATGCCATATGTATATTACACACGACTTTGTTTACGGGACTTTCACATGCATTTTTCTATTTATTTTTTTCTAGAACAAGATTATCGTATAAATCTATCTTTCTCTCTGCGTACGCTACTGAGCATGCGCAGAACGATATTAGACGTAAATGCTAACTTGGAGCGTTTTTTTCGCTGCGTTGACAACAATTACTAAAAATATAGACCACTAAAATTTTTCAATCAAGATATAACTGATACGTGTATTTATTATTTTGAAAATATTTGTCATATTATTTCCAATATACTTTTTATATATATTTTAAACAAAAATTAAATCATATAACGATAAATTCTTTTTTAAAAATGTTTTAAAATACTACTTTGAAAAATAGCTATGATGAATGGGCAACACAATGACTAAAGAATATAAGGACATGTAACGCCCCTATACGGGCTGCAGCAGAATTTGTGACTTTTTTTTGTTTTGGTGGCAAACAATGAGTCATCATTTGGTCACCAGCGACAATTTTAGCGATTTTTAATAGTTTGTGTGTAGTAAACTTTGTATAAACTTTATTATAATGGTGATTAGTTGTTCAGCTTTCAAGTGTAAAAGCAGCAGCGATAAGAAAGAGCCAGGAGTTACGTTTCTTAGGTAAATAAACAGTCCACTCCAACCTTTTAGCGTTTTCTTATTGAATTCGATAATTATTCTTCAATTTCAATTAATATCTATATGTACTTGATATGTGCTATACGTCGATACTAGTTTTGTACCTTTTGTTAACATTTTAATACGTTTTTTTCGTAATTAATTAGGATGATACACCATAGGCGTAGTCAAAACAATTATCAAAAAATATAAATATTGCTTCAAACAGCTAGGTTAAGAAAAATATGTGCCACGGCACTGTTTGATGGCATCGTCACAATTTGCTCTCGGGTGTTATTTGTCCTTGGATTCTTTAGTCATTGGGGCAATACATAGGAATCAGTAACCAGGGAAACATTAAAATATGTTTTGTCATTGAAAAGTCAAAATATATTTTAATAAAATTATCAAAGAATATACCTAGCTAGAAAAAGAATGGGCTCTGCCATACTGAAAAATGGTCCTACAGAAGTGGCGCCATCTATTGAGTAGGGCTTGTTTTAAATGGGTCGAAGCGCGGGCTTTTTAAATGAGCTTATTTATTGAATTTTACTCTAAAATAATTAAATTTGATTCTTAAATCTTATTTTTTACACAAATTCAACAATACTAATAACAAGTATCGTTGTGATGTGTAAAAAATAAGATTTAACAGTACCTATAATTTATACGATTATTAAATAAAATTAAAGACAAACATGTGAAATATTATTTATTATTTAAAGTTTTCATTGTCAGTCAAGTCAAATATTTAAACATCGTTTATTATAATAAAACAAGACCAACGTAATACGCCCAAAGTTTTGTAAATGGAGTAAATATAAATAGGTACTTAAATGATGGCAAAAATAAAAGACTGGCATTATATTTTTAGGGCCACAAACAAAAGGAATTGTCTAATTAAAACACATATAACAAATTATAGTTTGAAAAACATTTTGATTTGATTTTGATAATCATTTATTTGATAATATTATGATTGGTGCTATGACAACGACAATATTTTTTGAGAATTTCACAATAATATGACAATGGCCGTTGGAAACTATGGAAACTACAAAAAAATTCTGATTTAACGCCATCTGGCAATAACTAGTAGCAACTTCTTAACCTAAAAATTAATTGCACTACCACCTAGTGGCTAGGGCTGGAACTATTTTATTTGAGATTTCAGTGGAAACGGTGGAACCGCTTTTGCTATTTCACTTTCCAGCCCCTGAAAATAATTTAAATAATATCACATTTTGTGCTTTTTGTAAACTGTTTGACTCGTGATAATAAAGAGTTAATTTGGAATTCCGACGATATTTTAGATTTGTGTTCTTTTTGAAAGTTTGTTTTTGTAGTGCGATAAAGTTAGTGGATAAATAGACATTATGACTGATAAAAGTGTTATATGTGAAGCTGTCCGCAATAGGAAAAATCTTATCCTTAAAAGAACTCCACAACACTATAAAAGTATGAAAACCTCTGAAGTATGTTCCATATTTTTAAACAAGATATATAATATTTAAAATCGTTTCTTCAACTGACTTTTATTCAGCGAAATACATATTTATGTTAGGTAACTTAATCACTTTAAACACTATTAGGTAATTTACCTTTGATTTTTTTTTCGTTAAATAGTTAATATACTAGTAAATATTATCCAATAAATAATTAATATCCGAATAACAATACTATTTTCTGAAATTTATATATTTACATTTTCTATTTTATGACATAAAAATGACATATACACAAAACAAAGACAGACCATTGATCAATCAGTGTCAAAGACAAAGATAATCAGATAGTCGAATGTAGCCGATGTGTCTTCAACAAAAATTAAGCGAATTTACTTATCCACGAAGTTTATAAGATCTAAGGTTTAAACCGAATTTTATTATCGCTATGTTGGTCACATTGCGCCCTGTTCAGCAACGTTGTCGTTTATTATGACAATTATTTGACAATTATCCTCTTGTCAGTCATTATTTTGTATAATATTGTGTTGTTGTTGAATCTTCTTTCTGAAAAATATATAAAAAATCTGACGTAAGCCTTTTATAAAACTTTAAGACTTCGATCTTTTTGATGACTTAAATCTTTTTTTATTTCGAAATAAAGATTTATATCTCAAACCATTTTGAAAAAGAGTTAAATCTTAAGTCTTAAGTCAGCTTTCAAAAAATGACTTAAAATCAAATGACTTAAGTCATTAAAATAATTTAAATCAAAAAAAGACTTAAGTTTACTGTGAGCTTGTAGCTCTGGTAGTAACTAAAATAAAGGATAAACGTTTTAGTTGTTTTTTTTAGGATACAATGGAGATGAATTACTCGAGAAAGCGTCAAAGGTTCTTGGTTAACCAAGGCTACAGTTACAAGGTGATCACAAAATTAGCTGGGATGGAGAAGGAACCCGATTTGTTTTATAAAAATAGGGATGAGCAGGGACAATTACTGCAGCAAGTATGTTATTCAAACTAGCGATGAGCTATTTAAACATATTTTTCTTGAGCACTATACATAATTGGGTTTTTCTACAAACTTCGACATCCGATCGATCCTTTCCACAATCGCTACACGGTAGTCCGGTAGACACCTCTCGAATTTCTATATTCATTAAATCAGCACTGCGTACAATAATGAGTTTAGTGCTTTAAGCTTGATTTTCATGTATCGTTGTCCGCCGATACGATATTAATTTTATTGATTGAATTTAAAGACTTCCTTTTGGTTAAAAAATTACGCCGTTTTTAAATTTATTGCATTTCTATGCCTCCGTTCATCGGATATACGATTTGCTTGTGATTGGTGCCATTTTATATTTTCATTTCCATAACGAAATTTCGCTGTTTTACTTATAGTCTAAGAGCTAGCAACGTTTTCGAGAGAGAATTTTAAGAAAGCTGGTTCTTTAATATATGCTCTCCTGAATAGAGTGCGGACCGTCAGGCTGTCGATAGACTTTGCGTTTACTACTGCGCATCATATCTGTATTCAACATCTGTTCACTACTGCGCATCACAAATTCACCCTGTATTTCAGGAACTAAAAAGGTTAGGACAAGCATATGGGTAGCATATTTAGTTTCTTAAGAAAGTAGCAAAGTAATGTGAAAATCGCATCATTGTATCTCTACTCATAAACGAGAAATCTTATAGAACACACGACGGTGGGATACCCTGTATAGATGTGATGCGCAGTAGGGAACCGCTGTAGTCTACCGGTAACCAGACGGCTCGCACTTTGTCAGGGGAGCATAGCAAAAGACATATTAAAGAACCAGCTTTCTTAAAATTTACGTTCTCCCGACGGTGCTAGCTCTTATACTATTATATTTTTATTAAGTGTTTCACAAATACACGGGACCTACAGTTTATTGCCGAATCCGAACGGCACTATTTGAGAAGCTGTACAAGGCAAATATACTCAAGGTGGTTTGCCACTGCCTTCCTTGAGGTGGCGGCTCGTTGGTCGCTCTATTTAGATAAATAAATGTTTTTATTTAAATAAATAAAGCGACCGTACTGGCTGGGGATCGAACCCAGTACCTTCCGCTCCGCAGATCGACACACTAACGCTGGAGCTACGGCCGGCCACTAAGGTTAGATTAAATTTGTTATAAAAAGTGTATCAGAACGTCCGTTATCGTACGATCTTTCTCCGTTGATGGACCGGACTAAAAAATTTACGGATGAAAAGTGGCGCAAAAACGATATGTCAAAGCGCTGTCGGACCATCGTATCAACGGATGACGAACGCATGAAAATCAAGCTTTATTAACTTATCGAACGCCTATTGACTTGAAAGTATTTATATATGCATTAGGGTGTTTCAAAATAAATAAAAAAAATTCTTGATAATAATTTCGGAATGGTTTGTTTCCGCAATATCCTCGCGAGAAGATTTATAGGAAATTTCACGCTCTACCACAAACGTCTGAAGGTAAAAGTTCCTCAGATCAACCGTCTCAAAGATATCAGCGATCAAAAATAACACCAAAGTGAAATTTCCTATAAATCTTCTCGCGAGGATGTTGCGGAAACAAACCATTCCGAAATTATTAAAATTCAAAAATAAAAAAATTAAATTTCCGTGTTATTTAAATGAAAAAACAACAAATAAATTGAGGTAAACCTTAATATTAATTCGATATACAGAGAAGACAAGGCTACTAGTAACATAGCAAGTTGCCGGACGAATTTACGTTTACCCAATTTGCGTTCGTAAAACAACAAATAAATTGAGGTAAACCTTAATATTAATTCGATATACAGAGAAGACAAGGCTACTAGTAACATAGCAAGTTGCCGGACGAATTTACGTTTACCCAATTTGCGTTCGTACTCGAGATTCGTTGCCGGCTAGTCGGCTAGTCAGGCAGTACGCAGTTGCAGTTGTGCTTGGACGGGTCGGTCGTGACAGACTAGGAATACGACGCGAGGAGTGCCGAGTATTTATTATTTTCATTTTCAGTGTTTACCTTCACTTAAGGTAACATTTAAAATAAAAATACTTAAATGTTTATTATTTGAGTGTGTTTACAAGCCAAAACTAAAAATAAATAAATTCTCTAAACCCAAAAAAAACTAAAATATTACTCTAAATAAAAAAAGTTATAACAAGTGTTGAAAAAGACCACCTTCTTGTGCTAGACAGAAGCCTAGGCGGTCGTAAAATCCCCGTCTGACATTGGCTAACGTATTAGGGTTAATAGTTTGGAAAGCCTCTCGTATTTTTACTTGAAGCTCATCCAGATTATTAGCCCTATTATGACCATACACTTTGGGTTTTACATATCCCCACAAAAAGAAATCATTGGGAGAAAGATCTGGTGATCTAGCGGGCCACAAAATAGTTCCATGTCCACTAATTAAACGGTTAAACACTTGCTTTAACTCCTGTTCTTGATTAATCAACACATCAGGCTTCTTGTGTTTTTGTGGGGACACGCACCCATGTGTTTCAAAATTATTAATAACTCTTGATATAGTAGGTAAAGATAGAATTGCCCTGTTTACAAAAGTTTGTGGAAAAATTGTTTGTATATCCCGATAAGACCTATTTTGGAAATACCATTTTACAATTTGAATTTTCTCACGAACTTCGTAAACATCCATTATTTTACTTAAAAAATAAATTTTACACGAGAACTGTCGCGAGAATCTATGTATTCGTTTTGGCTATTAAAACACGAATAAATACAAATTATGAAACATCCTTATCACATATCTACCTATTTTTATTTTATCGCATTTTTTCGCCTACTTTTTATCCGGCGGACGGGTATACGCTAATTCGTCCTGTTCTGCCTATGTTACTACTACAGTGGTCCGGTCTCTATAAGGGTTCTACTAGGCGCGAAAATTTTTGTTTTTAAATGTACTTTCAACTTTTCAACACCATAAGAAAAAAAAATATTTATTTTGAAACACCCTAATATGCATCCTTATTACTACAACTGCAGGCGTTTACGAAATATAGAGGAATATTTAGCACGAGATGTCTGGCAGACAACTCTGTACCGTTAAGGGTTAACTCTATACTTTATGTTAAAGGTGCTGGCCGCTAGCGACATCGACTGCGAAGATGAAAGGATTCCGGGCGAAGGGGGCAGCAGAGGTGGCTCCAGCATCACCCGCAGGGTCGGCCAGATGGGCTCGATGTCAGGCGCCGACGACGCCGTATATTACGAATTTAAAAAGTCGGCCAATATCAACAAACATCCCTTGTTTAAAAAATTCAGATATAATTAAATAAAATTTGTTATTACTATTATTTTTTGTAGTATGTGTATTATTGTAATTGTAACAATGACTAAAGAATCCAAGGACAAATAACACCCGAGAGCAAATTGTGACGATGACACCAAACAGTGCCGTGGCACATATTTTTCTTAACCTAGCTGTTTGAAGCAATATTTATATTTTTTAATAATTGTTTTGACTACGCCTATGGTGTATCATCCTAATTAATTATGAAAAAAACGTATTAAAATGTTAACAAAAGGTACAAAACTAGTATCGACGTATAGCACATATCAAGTAAGAGTTAAGTTAGTTTAGTAAAAGTTGGAGTGGACTGTTTATTTACCTATGAAACGTAACTCCTGGCTCTTTCTTATCGCTGCTGCTTTTACACTTGAAAGCTGAACAACTAATCACCATTGTAAGAAAGTTTATACAAAGTTTACTACACACAAACTATTAAAAATCGCTAAAATTGTCGCTGGTGACCAAATGATGACTCATTGTTTGCCACCAAAAGAAAAAAAAAAGGTCACAAATTCTGCTGCAGCCCGTATAGGGGCGTTACATGTCCTTATATTCTTTAGTCATTGAATTGTAATGTGTAAATTATATAAATAATATTTTAAAAAATTCAGATATTAAAATTTGTTCTATTATTTTTTGTAGTTATTTTTCCCAACCCAATAAAACAAACTTTACTTATACGACACAAAACCTTTTGACATACGATATACGTCATGACAGACAATCGTTAAAGTTGTTTTATAGTTGGCAATTTTAATTGCAAGACTATTAATAATTCTAGAGAAATAGAGAGAAAAAATAATATAGGGTCAGTTTTATATGATGCTCTCTATGGCAGTGGCGAAGTTACGGGGGGGCTTAGCCCCCCCAAATGTAGAATTAGCCCTCCCAAAATGTTTGACGCTCTATGCAATACAAGCTCGATTACAGTCGGTCCCTGGTCTGTCAGTGTTAATATGTCACTCGATAGTTTAAAGTTTAACCTAGAAATAATTCTGCGAAAACAATATATTGTGATGTATATATTTTAATGCGATGGTCTGGGTGTTTCTTATTTTATTTTTTAGTCATATTTAATATCTGTATGTTTATTATTAAAATGTATATATCATTTATACTTAGTTCTGTTTAGTTCATGTTTATTCGATATTGCCACTAAAGCATTTAGTATTAAATACTGTGTTTTCATCCTAATCTTACCTAATGTTATGATCAAAAGATGCCGGGGCTTAAGCCCCCCCCAAAATCAGAGAGCTAACTTCGCCAATGCTCTATGGGTATCTCGGAAACTAGCGGAGTTAGAGAATCGGTCAAATTGGGAAAGAATTGCAGTTTTGTGAGGTCAAATATATGCGCCTTTCGGATTTTTGAAAAAGTTTATGGCTTAATAGATATTTGGAAAAAACATAAATTTAGGCATTTTAAAAATGCAATTCCATTATAATCTATTTTAGACAAAAGGTTTTCAGATAAATGTTCTAGATAGTCACATACTTATTGAGACTGTGTTCTCCGCTTCTTTTCTGAAGCCTGTCATTTTTGACATATGACACAAAATGGAAATCATAGTTGGCCGTGACTTCATAAAAACGTCATTTTTAAAACTTAAAGCGATATAAGCTATAATATGGGGAATAAATATTTTTTCGAAAAATTACTGAGTTATAGCCAATTCTTACCTTTTTGAAGTTCTCTTTTAAACTTTGTTGTTAACCATACCGCATAAAAAAATCTAAAATGGATAGTTGAGGTCTTAACCTTTGGTTCAGGTGACCGAGGCTGCCTATGCAATTATTGATCCACCTCTTCCTATCCCTGAGTTTGCATAATTATTATGATATAAATAATTTTTAGCATTAACATACAAACTTTGAATTTGAATAAAAAGCGTAATTTCGACAATTAAAAAATGATTTTAGTTATTCACAACGAAACCTTCGATCCAAGAATCCTATAAATAATTTTATTGATGAGATATTCAGAAATGGTAAAATACCGGATCGTCTCAAAAGTAGCTCACCCATATATAACTTTTTTATTTTATCAGATAAAAAACGAGATTCGGTATGTTAGTATACGACATAAATTAGGATTAATTGACGTATTCAGGTCTTTTCGGTCACTTCCTGTTTCATCGGAAACAACTACAACTTTTGATTTTTAAATGGTACCCTCGGTATTTTTTTATTTTATTCGATAGAAAATTTCATTCTGAATAGAATGACATATCATATATGTCAACTTTTTACATTTTTGCTTAAAACAAAATTGAATTTTAAATTTCCATCCAGAGTGCCATGGCGGTATTAAAAACACCAGTTTTTAATCAAGGAGCCTTGGAAAAATAGATTTGACCTAATGTTTTTAGTGTCTTATCCTGGCTTTGTAAAAGATGCCCAAATCGTATTTTTAATCATATCTCGATTTTTTCAAATGGAACGAGGGTGGCTCATTACCATATTAAAAAAGCATTTTTTTACGAATAATTTGGTATTAAACACTTGGTATTTCGAGTCAAATTGTCGTTGGTTAGAATAAAGCAACAAAACACCGAGGGTGCCATTTAAAAATCAAAAGTTGTAGTCATTTCCGGTGAAACAGGAAGTGACAGAAAACAATTGAATACGTAAATTAATCCTAACTTATATCATATATTAATATACCAGTCTCGATTTTTTATCCGAAAAAATAAAAGAGTTATAGGTAGTTATAATAATAATGCAACATAATATTAATGCAACTTTTCAGGTGTGACGATGGTTTACGTGAAGAATACGCTTTTATCGAGCTACAGGGCGATCTGAAGTCCCATTCCGAGACTGCGTTCGATGGTAAATTCGTGGGCGATTTGCATTTCAGCAAGAGCGGCACGCCACTGCTCATCATAGGCCACCACCTGATGTACGGCAAGGAGACCAAGCTGGATAAGCCGTTCGCCCTTCTAGAAAAATGCCAAGAAGATGGAAACGTAACCTACAAAGTCAGGTGCGTCGTTAAAAACAAGATAATTTTCAAAACCAGACCTAAACCCATAGTCGGCGCTTAATAAATTTTGTCTAAATACAGTTTTTTTTTTCATTGAACACACCCATTAATTTCGAATATACAGTACGTCCCAGGATTGTCTTTTTAAGAAGAAAAACTTTTTTATTGATATTTTGAGAAAAATGCATTCTTCATAAAAATGGTTGCTTGTTCTATGTAATAGTTAATCCCGTTTTTGATCGATAATTTGTTTTAGCACCAATACCAATCACTAGTCCTAAAATCTCCTAACAAAAGTATTAAACTATTTCAATCATTGTTGATCGCACTGTATGTTTTATTTGACGATGACAATAAAAAAACTCAACTAAAATACAACTAAATTTTATTTAAATCCATATAATTGTTATAAATTTTCTCTTTACATATTATTTTACAACTTAATACTTGTATTTTATTTATATTATTTAAAAAATCGTTTATAAGAAAAGGTAAACATATAAAAACGAAAAAGTATTAGATATACCAGTATCAAAAATGGACATATATTATTAAGGAGCCTGAAATTACTTGATTTTTTAGTTATGCACTGGTTTATGCGTCTATTTTCAGTTAATATCACACAAATCTATAAAAATTATTTATAATTCAATAAAATTCTCTTAAAACTTAAAAAAAAATCAATATTATACCCAGTAAAGCTAATATTTTCACTAAGATATTTTTTTTAATATTTACTACTCTCTATGGTCTTAATAACTTAGATCAAAAATACCATACAATCGGGAAAAAAAACGGCGTCAGAGTTAGCTTGGAAATGAAGATTTTTCTCTAAAATTACATTGTGAATAATATTTCCAAGCCAACTTGACGCGTTTTTTTCTTCGATCATACGTTATATTTGGTTAATATTTGATAAAAAATCAATCGGTTTGTAGTATAATCAGAGGCCATATTCATTTGATATGATGCAAGTATTAATGGCGTCGCAGTAAGCGTTGAAATGTCATTTTAATTTGAACTTTACTACATCCATCGCTAAAGATCTATTGTACTCTTAACCTTTATAAGGACTTCATCCTTTCATTTGATTATATATCCAATGAACACAAAGACTTAAAAATGTAATATACAGGGTGGCGCCTCTCATACGTCGCGGAAGATCCAAGGAGAACGGTAGTTAATATCGAAATGAAATTTTGGCAGCATATATAGGTTAACTGAAAGCATTTTATAAAAATATATAGAATTATACATGGTGTCCCCAAAAAAAGTTACACTTCAAAGTTGTGTTTTTTCCAGGGTTGGCATGATTTAAATCAAATGACTTAAATCATGATTTAAATCGTGATTTAAATCAAGTGATTTTTATAATTTTAATCATTGATTTAAATCAAAAAAAATAATTTTATTAAAACTTTATTATAAATCAAAAAATAACTGTAAATTTTTGCCCCAGAATGCGAAAATCAATTAATATATAGGGTGTTACCATTACAAAAAACACAACTTTGATATGTAACTTTTTTTGGGGACACCCTGTAGAACTCTCTATATTTTGAAAAAGTGCTCTGAATTAACCTACATATGCTCACAAAACTTCATTTCAATACAAACTGTCGTTCTCCTTGGAGCCTCCGCGACGTACGAGAGGCGCCACCCTGTATTTCTATATTCATACATTAAAGACAAACAGGGCGTCATGGTAGTGATTTTGCAACAACTTTTATCACTTTTTTAACTTTTTTCTTGATAAATTACTTTTTTATTTACGTTTATTTTAAAATTAGTTCTACAGTATGTTCCCGGATTGTCTTTACAACAGGAAAAACTTTTTTATTATTGACATTTTGAGAAAAATTCATTCTTTATAAAAATTTTTGCTTGTTCTAAAATGGATAATCCCTTTTATACTTTTCCAAATTTCAATACCGTTTTAGAAAAAAAAAATAAAGAAACTCAGTTGTATTAAAACACCTTTGTGGTCTTGCAAAACTGCTTGATGTATGTACTCCCTCCTTAGGCTTTTTATTCAATGAATATATATTTTTCAATAAAAAAATACTCAATTTTTATTATAATAATCTTAATATAAAATTATACTATACCGGGTGCGTCTCAAAAGTGGCTCACCCCCTATAACTTTTTTATTTTTTCAGAGAAAACAAAAACCGATTTGGTATGTTAGTATAAGCACAGATTATACAGATTATAAACTTATCGCCAAAAGCATTGTTATTCAAGGTTCCAATTTTCGGAGTCGCGCACTAGTTAGGTTACTAGTTAGCGCACATAGCACGCCCACTTATGGCCTCTAAAATTGTGCACAGCGCCTGACCGGCCCTGTTATTACGCTGTTTAAACAGGAGTTTATTTTTGCGCACAAGAAAATTTACTCGTTTGCTCATCGTCATAAAAAACAATTTTAGGGACAAGATTTTTATCTGTATACTTATAGGATACCTAATCTGTGGTATAAGACATAAATTTGGATTGATTGGTGTATTCAATTGTTTTTGGTCACTTCCAAAATGGAAATGACTACAACTTTTGATTTTTAAATGGCACCCTCGGATTTTTTTTTACTTTATTCGATAGAAACTGACATTGACATTCTGAATAGAATGACATATCATATGTCAACTTTTGACATTCTCGATTAATAAAAAATTGTATTTTAAAATTCAATCTAGAGTGTCATGGCTATGTTAAAAACACTAATTCTTCATCAAGGAAAAAATGAAAAAATAGATTTCATCGTCTAATGATTTTAGTGTCTTGTACTGGCCAGTTAGAAAATGCTCAAATCATATTTTTAATCATATCTCAATTTTTTCAAATGGAACGAGGGTGGCTCATTAGCATATTTGGAAAAAGCATTTTTTTACGAATAATTTGATACCACAGACTTGGTATTTCGAGTCAAATTTTCGCTACGAACCGCAAGTTATAATTTCAAATAAACCATATGCGAAAATGTTGACATATGATATGTCATTCTATTCAGAGTAACATTCTCTATCGAATAAAGTAAAAAATACCGAGGGTGTCCTTTAAAAATCAAAAGTTGTAGTAATTTCCGGTAAAACCGGAAGTGATCGAAAACAATTGAATACGTCAATTAATCCTAATTTATGTCATATAGTATATACATACCAAATCTCGTTTTTTAACTAAAAAAGTAAAAAAATTATATAGGGGTGAGCCACTTTTGAGACGCACCCGGTATTGTATTATTTGGTGCGGCCTCTGATAGCCTACTGCACTGTTTGTATTCGATCTCCATAATAATATATATTAGTATTACACTTGTTTAACATTATTTCAAAAACCAATCGTAACAGTTTTATTAAGAAGCGTAATGTCAAAGAGAACACGTTCTAACAAACAATAACCGATATTGTACTTGATTTTCAACGAAAATTATCAACAATAATAAGCGACATTTGATTTAAAAAGTGACATCATAACAAAAACTATTTTTACCCGATACCATATACCAATTAACAAAAGAAAATCGTTACGCAAAGCACCCTTTGATTGATTTTTATGGAATAAACTTAATTCATCACAGTTTGCATTAAAATACAAAGCCATCGTTTTCAAATAACACTAGGGATGGTATTTTTTCCGATATATCGATAACTAATCAATAGGTATTAATATATCGAATAATTATAGGTGTTTTAAATATTATCGATATATCGATAACTATAGGTAATGCGATAGTTATCAATATATCGATAATTGTCGATATATCCATAATTATGAATATAACATTACGACATATCGATAATTTAAATATATCCATAGGTAAAATCCATAATCGTCCATCCCTAAGTAACATCCTGTATATTTTTTACATTAATTACACATATATTTCAAATTGATATTATTGTTTAAAATGTGGCGGTTTATAGTGATTTTATTATAAATTCAATATTTCAAACAAAAAACGGCGTCAGAGTTGGCTTCAAAATGAAGATCTTTCTATGTAAAATTATATGGTGAATGTCCCCGATCGGCAATTCCAAACCAACATGACGCCTTTTTTTTTGATAACGCAGTATATATGTTACAGTAAAAGTTGGAAATCAGTGATTATTAACAATTACTAGTAAAAGCTCACATTCACTGATTTGCAAAGACTATGCCAGTAAAAGTTCAACGGCTATTTTTGAAACCAACTTTTACTAGCGAATGCATTATATAGCATTCCCTAGACAATCGCAGTGAATTTGAAAGATTCAGTTAGCGCGGTTGCCACATGTTGTAAGATATAAGGATAAGTTAAATAATAGGCAATATAATAACATGAAATTGGGCTAAACGTTCGCAACGTTGACAGACATTTGGCTGCATCTGGCGGTAAATTCGCTTTGTTTTTTGTGGTTATGTATAATTGTTTTGTTATCGTTGTAAAAAGTGCTGTGCGGTATTTTCTCTATAGAAGAAATTTTCTGTGAAAAATTAAGGTAAACTAGACACTCGCAAGAATGTAATAGTGCTTGTTTTTCATTTCTGCAAGTTTTATTTGTTCTAACTTCTACCAACAAGCATCTCAGCACACTCGCTCGCCCTGTACAATAGAATCACTTTTACTGGCAATCTTTAGTAAATGTTACTTTCCCTAGTGAATGTTAGAAATTACTAGGAAAAGTCGACAAATCTCTTTAAAATACCTCATTCAAATGTTAACATTCACCGAATTTCCGACTTTCACTGTAACATAATGTACTACAAATAATATACAGGGTGTCGTTTAACATTATTTGCTCTAAATCAATAATCAATTATTGTTTCTTACTAGAAAATATGATTGTACTTTATTTTGAACAGAAATTTGAAATTTAATCGTCAAAAAAAACATAAAATGGCGCTTTGTGCAACGATTTTATTATCACCCGGTATACGGTCTGGGATTTTTACACAGTTCCGTCGAAGAGTGAATTAACTAATGTAATTAATTTGTATGGCAAGTTAAATGTAGAAATAATACACACAAAAAATAATCGATAAATGCACTGTGGGTATTTAAAATATAGAGAATAAAAAATAGATAAGATAGCACAATACGAAA